TTTGGTGCGTTTTCCTTTATCCTTCCTTTATCAACAATTTGATGTGCCAGAAGGCTGATGATTACAGAAAAGGATAAAGAGAAGGTTCAAGTTTGAAAGAAGTGAAAAAAATGGTGGATTTGGGGTGAAAAAGAAGTCAAAGTTTAGTTTCTTTAAAAATTGATACTAAGATAAGTATTATTAAGGTCATCAACTTGTCATCAAATAGTGATCAACTCGGCTACAAATCTACCGTAACAAATCCAACAAAGCTTAAAGAAGCTGGTAACTAAAGGAGAAGCTGATCTCAAAGAAGCTAGTCCCGAAGACTGGTCCATAAGCTTGCGTAGACTCCTCGAAATCTCGAGAATCGCTTATCAGAACCTATCGATGTGGGATCGGAAAATGTAGCTGACGATGAGATCTAGTGAGGGATTAGAGTGGTGAGCTTCTGCAAAAGCTTGGAAACCGTAAAATAGTCATCAACTCGGCTCAGCGGGGTGCATACGGTAATTCAAAAATACACTTCCAAAGAGGGTTTCTTCTTTGAACAGAAAAGCTATTTCATTTCAAAATAAAGAAAATGAAATTGCTTTCCTTTCAGTTGGGAAAAGAAATTTTCAAAAGAGTTTTCTTTTTTTGGCATTTGAATGCGTTTGAATTGATCCTTTCGTTAAAGTTTATTGAGTTTATTTGAAAGTTTATTGAAAGTTTATTGAAAATGAATTAATTTTTTTGATTCTGAAGGTTTTCATCATTAAAAATTGCCTCTAAAAATAGATTTGTTAAAGTTTTGAATGACTTTTTTCTAGAATCAATTCAATTTTCGGCTTTTTTTTGTGACCAAGATTTGTCCGAAAAGCGGGAAAATATTCAGTGAACTGGAAATTCTCCCAAATTCTCCCAAAATTCTCGAACCCCGTCTTTTTCAATTCAATTTTTTGAAGAAATTTGACCTTAAAAAGGCCTAAAATATATTTGGAAATCATGAAACTTTTTTGTTGCTCACTGAAGTGAAACAAATTTTGAACAAAAAAAATGATACCAGCTTGAAAAATTGTAAAGTTAAACCTTCTTTGACTTCAAGAATGACTTGAAACATTTAATTCTTCAAGAATGACTTGAAACAATTTCAAATTACTTCAAATACTTTAAACTTTGCAAATCCGAATCAAAATAAAAGCCTTTCTCTAGAAAAATTCACCTCAGACTCCCCAGGGAAACGAAAAAAATGACACGTGAGAATTTGAAAGTTTTCTTTTTTCTCTTTTAAGATAAAAATAGAGATTTTGTGCGTGATTTGTGGACAATTTTAAATTGGGATTTCTTCGAGAATTTCCTGGAGTTTTTCCCAAAAAATATAAGAACTTTTGACAAGTTTTGATTCAGAATTTAGGCAAACATCAAATTTCCGGATTCAGAATTTAGGCAAACAGCTAATTTCCGGATTTTCACCGCAAATTTGACTTAATCGATTTGAATTGAGATTTTTGAGAATTTGAGAGGAAATTAGGCATCAAATGGAAGCAGGAGCATCAGGAAAATACAAATAAAGAGGTCATTCTAGTGGAAGTTCGATTGGTTGAAAGGGAAGCATGGTCAAGAACAAGAGTGAAGCAAGCAAAGCGGGCCTGAAGCAGATTTGGAAAGCACTTGCTTCAGGGTTTAATAATAGTAAAGATCTAGCTCTGGAAATAAAATCAAATAGCTTTGCATCAAATAGCTCAAGCTTTGCAAAAATTCGTCAGAATTTGGTTACAAAGAAAATGCAAAGTATAGCCGTTGCCCTACAAAATCTGGGAAGTGAAGAAGTCAGTTTAAAAATGAAGAAGTTTAAGAAGAAGAAGAAGGAGGAGAAGAAGAAGAAGAAGAAGAAGAAGAAGAAGAGGAAGAAGAAGAAGAAGGAGAAGAAGAAGTTAAAGCTAAGTTAATTAAAAATGAAGAAGTTTAAAAATGAAATCAGAGACTCTAGAAATCTACTTTAAACCAACAGGAAAAGATTCTGCTCAAAAATAACAATTACAGAATTTCCTTCAGACTCACTAATCTCTCAAAATGTCACTGGAAAGATAGTGGAAATTGAATGGAATGGATTGGAATGGAATCAACAAATCCATGTGCAATGGAAGCTTCTGGTTCTGTTCTGGTTGATGCGTTCGATTTGTTTTTTCCCTCCACCCTCACACACGCCCACAAGAAAGTCGAAAACGATGATTTCGTAAGAATTTCCCCTTTTTGTTTATTGGGCATTCGAGTGGTAAATGAGAAGAGAAAGAGAGGGAAAATTGGAGAAAGAGAAAGAAAATTGGAGAGAATTTCTTCAAGAGAATTTCTTCAAGAGAATTGCTTCAAGAGAAACGGATCCTTGTGCACATTGTTGTTTTGGTGGAACTTTCGCAAAACAAGTCAACAAATTGGATGGAAAAGGGGAAGGGAAAGCCAAAAAAAAGCCAAAAACACTGTTACCAACCATTCAGCCATTGATAATTTCGAGTTACTGAGGGGAAATTCGATAATCTGAAAGAGTCTAGAAGCATATCGAAAGTTAGGCAAGATCTAGAAGATTCAGAGTTTCTTTATTTAGCTTTAGTTTCGAGTTTCGAGTTTGATAAAGCTCAGAATTGTTTGATAAAGCTCAGAAATCTTCCTAACTGAACTAATTCAGTTGGGTAACTGAACTGGATGCTCTCGAGAATCTCTCAAGAAAGAGAATACATGTAAATGTTTCAAAATTTGAACAACTTTTCCAATTGTAGTATCAGCAAAAGCTTCAGAATCTAGAGAACAAAATAACCCTGCTAAATCACTCTGCTAATGAATCTGGATTTTGCAAAATATTGGCAACTAAACCGACTAGGATTGGGTAATTGAACTGGCACTAAAGGTTCCGTCTAAGGCCCATCTAAGCCCAATCACATCTAAGCCCCAAATAAGCCCAATCAGCCTTAACTCCAGCCGGAATTTCTCCTTTAAAAACCACTATAATATACTTTAATCTTTAAACTTTAAGAAAATCTTAAAACTTTTGAAAAAATCAAATTCCCATTTCCCCGAAAGCATTCGCATCATTCTTCCAAAAAAAAAAACTCAACAATGCCAAAAAATCAGATGAAAAGCTTGCTTCTTCTTTTCTTTTCTTGTGGCTGCAAAACACTAAAATTTCTCCATTTTTTAACCAATAAAGTGTTCTATTGAAAAGCCACGAGATCTCTTTTTGCGCCAAAATATTTTTGTCAATCCGAGATTTTTGAGCAGTTTGGTTGAAAGGAAATGGGTCCTTTTGAGAGAAAAAATAGGAAATAGGAAATCGGAAAAGCTTTCGGAAAAGTGCATCAAATGATGCACAAAAAGTGACGAGTTTTCTATCGAGTTTATGAAGCTTTTTGCATAGAAAATGTTGTACTTTTGAAGTAAAGCTTTAAACGAGCCAAATTTAGCTTCTTATCGCTATTTTGATCTAAAACAAATAAAATAAACTTCAATTTGCACCCTGTCTTCTGTCATTTCTTTACCGCACCTCGTTTGGCTAAAAGAATGAGAACTATGCTAGAAGGAAGTATGCTAGAAGGGACTATGCTAGAAGAAACTATTCTAGAAGGAAGTATGCTAGAAGGAAGTATGCTAGAAGGAAGTGTGCTATAAGGAACTATGCTAGAACTATGCTGCTACATTGGGCAAATTGAGCACAAAGTACCAGCCAAAATCTCCAGCCAAGCTCCAGCCAATTCACCAAAAATCTTGTCGGAATGGCAAATATTTTCGCTCAAAAAGATCTCGTGCTTTTGGAACACTTTATTGGTTAAAAAGAGGAGAATTTGAGTGTTTTGCAACGGGCTTTTCATCAGATTTTTGGGGCGTTGTTGAGAGGAGTTTTTGAGGGAAATCGGGGAAACATTTTCAAGTAACTTACAAGTATTTGTACTCTACAAATATTCACCATTATTTTCAAGAATTGCCGATAGAATTCTCTTCTTTATATCGAATATCCAGGAAAAGGTTGTCAAGGCTGACTAAATACTACAAAATTCGATACTTTTTAGATATTTACTGCACAAATTGTGATTTGAATGGCTCATTCCTGTGAGTCTGTGACGAGAAGTCAACAAAAAGCTGCCGCAATCTAATAAGGCACTAGAAATACCGTACCTTAAATCTACACTCTTTAAGGTACGTCCTTTCATAGCGCGTATACAAGGACGCCTTCTTCCGCATTTTGTCAGAATTTTCTCTCATTTTTCTTGTGAAAGTTGAGTTCTTTTGTTCGAGATACTTCCATAGTTTTCATGAAAGTGATTCCTTTTTCTCTTTGAGAGGAACTTTGAGAGAAACAAAACATTTCTCAAAGAAATATTGCTTCTTTGAGCTTTGTTCAAACATTTTCACACGGTTTTCCCCATTTTTATTAAATAAACTTGGTTTTGTTATTCATTCAAGCAAAAGCACTGGACTAGTCACGTCTAGTGAATTCAAGGGAAAGCACAGTAATACAGGCAAATTAGTTTTAATAGACCCAGCCGTTCAATGGATATTCTTTCTCTTTCCTTCCCTTCCCTTCTTTTCTTTTCTTTTCTTTTCTTGTTTACTCCATCAATTGTTTATCATCAATGTTTGGGAATGTGAAAAGAGAACTTTTGAAGGGAACACAAAGTGATCAATGTTATTGTAAAAATTGTGAAAACATGAGACCCCGAAAACGTTTGAAAATAAACAATTAGGTATTTTGAGAGGAATTTTGAACTGAGAGAATCTGAGAGAATCTTGAAATCTTCAGTTTTTTAGCGATTTTGTACCTTTTTTCCATATTTCATTAAGTTTTATCATAAAAATCCATAACATGATATGTATCGGAAAAAATCTCGTTGAGGTAGGGCAGGCAATGAAATCGGATATCTGAATAAAGCTAGAAATGAATGAATAGAAATAAAATAATAATAATAAGAATAATAATCATAATAATAATAATGATAACAAAAATAAAGTTATAAATGAATGAAATAGAAAAAGAAAATGAGATCTACTCAAACATAAACATCCCCTCGGGCATTCGAGAAGAAAAGTGAAGTCTCTCGCTGTAAATGAGATCCATCCTCACAACGCAACATTAAACCCATATAACGACGCATCTCCTGAAAGATTTTCATTCATATGTTTAAAGTGTTAAACGATTGCACTAAAGATTAAAGACTAAGTCCAAGCCTGAGCCTAAGTCTAAGCCTAAGCCTAAGGCTGAGCCTAAGGCTGAGCCTAAGGCTGAGCCTAAGCCTAAGCCTAAGCCTAATTATTTGAATGAATAAAGAAACTTGAATCGATTAAAGCTCAATTAATGCGTCAATGAAACTCAACAAAATAGACATGGAAAAACCCCAAGTCGAACCTAATTTCACCCTCGTTTTCTCGACCGCTTCTTATCTAATTCCTCTCAAATTTTGTCTGCAATCTGAAAGTTTTGATTTCTATCTGTAGACAAAATTTCAGAGCAATTGGCCAGGAAACAGCTGAGAAAATGAAGGTGGAATTAGGTTGGGATTAGGAATAACTGGTATTACCGTATTTTCTTTAATAGTAGTGCACCCCGGCGAGCCGAGTTGGTGACTATTTTACGGTTTCCAAGCTTTTGCAGAAGCTCACCACTCTAATCCCTCACTAGATCTCATCGTCAGCTACATTTTCCGATCCCACATCGATAGGTTCTAATAAGTGGCTCTCGAGATTTCGAGCAATTTAGGCGACGCTCAGAGTTCACTACTATTAGAGAAAATACGGTATACGAAATACAAAGAATTCCATGCACTAGAAAAGGTGTGTTTGCAATTTGGCCTCAAAGTAAGGTTAGCTATTGTAATTCACAATCAGATACTATCATTTTGGATTGATCTTTTAAAAGTTAGAATGTCCAATCGATCTTTCAACTATTCGCTTTTAAATCCATTTCCTGCTAACCTTATATTTCCAACCATAGATGAAAATATTATTCGATGCGTTCACTCCCGAAAGAAATCCCGTCACAAGCACCACCAATGAGAAATAATCGGTTGATAGCTGAAAGATCAAATTCTTCACAAAATAACGAATCAATCAAAGACTTTAAAAATGACGCCGGCCATGATGAAAACCAACGGTACAACTGTGCACAGAAAATGGGAGAGTAAAACGATCGAGATCGTCACAAAAACCTGGAATATACACTTTGATTATTTGATTATTCAATTATTCAATTATTCAACTATTTATTTATCACTTTCTTTCCATAAACAAACCCGTTTTTGTCTGGAATATTCCCTCTCCAATTCCCCTTTGCATTGAATGTTGAAACCACGACGGACGAAATAAACCGTTAACCCGTAGGCACCTGAAAAGGTTTCTTTAGAATATGTAGGAAAGGCTTTGGGCTCTGGGAAAGGCTAGTCTATACGGCTTCTTGATATGGGATGTCTAATTGTCTAATCTAGGGATGTCTAATCAGGTTCTAGATTGACTTGAACTTGTCCATAGTCTTATCAGTCAGAATCAGTCAGGTCCTGGACCCGGTCTAATCTAATTTACAAATTCCTATGTGTTCAGAAGTTTCAGGCTGTTCAGAAAGTGTTTTCTGAACCGAAATTGACTTAAAAAGATGGGAAATTGAACAATACCATAGCTTAATTAATGAATTTCTTATTTTCCAACAAAAGTAAGAAAAGACTTTCTTGACAGCCAAACAGAATTAGATTAGATCAGGCCCAGGATTGACTTCTGATTGATTCAAAGCTATGGACAAAGCTAGAACAAGCTAGAACTGGCGCGAAAACGTTTCTTTTTTTAACAAGAATAAAAGTGAACAAACCAAAAAGTAGAATCGTCACGACGGTGAAGAAAATCGTCCAATAGCGAACGAAGATCCCATTTGGACGACTGTCGCCTAAAATTTGCATTTGACAATGACAATAAAAGCTTTAAAGTTGTTTTAAAGTTAAAACAACTTTAAAGCTTCTATTGTCATTGTCAACAATGACAATATATTTGTCTCTCTTGTCAACAAAATTTCCCATCAAAACTCACCAATATTGCAAACTTTTGCAATGTGATCATTCTCGACACCCAAATAGAGAAAGAAAAGACCCATACAGCTGAAGATGACACAAAAGATGAGGCATTTGAGTGGATAAGAATAAGGATCCTGAAAGTTGATAGCATTGGAAATAGAAGGTTTTTCAGAATAGAAGGTTTTTACTTGGGCTATCTACAATTGTTGGGATTGTTGAACTATTTCCAGTAAGCTTTACAATAAATCTACATCTACAATAAGTTTAGTAGGTTAACCTACAATAGTAGTAGTAGGTTAACTACAATAGTAGGTTAACTACAATAGTAGTAATACAATAGTAGGTTAACCTACAATAGTAGTAGTAGTTAACCTACAATAGTAAGTTAACTTTGACTAAAACTAGCTTACTTATTAACTACTTATGTCTATAGTAAGAGAATTTTAAAGAAAAGATGTTAAAATATGTCAAACTTTTTTTGTTTTACACCATTTCTATCACTCTACAGTGCCCAAATCAGTTCACCAATTGAACTACAGTTTATTTCATTAGAAAACACAAGCGCTCACTAATATATGATTTCTTTTAAAGATATTCAACTGTTTAACTGATTTGGTGGCAAATTCGCTTCAAATGTAAAGATATTCAATTTACTTGGTGTGTAAAGAGGATTACGCGTAGTTGCTCGGCGAAAATTAAATTATTTTTCATTAAAATAACATTAAAACGAGTTTCAAACGTCTTATTTCCTTTTATCCCGAACTCACGCGATGTTTATATCCAATCGGTGACATAATCGCATAAAGACGATCAAATGCGATGCAAAGCATTGACAATTGACTTAAATGAATGCCGAAGATGTTCGTGGCTCCAATCGAGACACAATGCCTATAATATTTCGCGATCTGGAGCTATTGAAGTTAAATTTCAGAAGGAATTTGATTCCGATCATCCCCTGGCTAAGACCATCCCGAAACTGCTTTTAAATCCTATCTATCATAAGCCATTTTTGAGATATAAGCTTTCAAAGTCTCGCCAAACAGCAAGCTAGCTTGTATAAAGCTTTATAAGGCCTTGTATAAGGCCGGTCCCTATGCGACGATAGCCTAACGGGTAGTGTGCTAGCGCGTCAGTTCGCCGGTCCCTGCTTCGGATCTACTGTCGGTCAGAGTTTTTAGAAAAACGTTAAAAAGCTAATTTTTAGTCTTGTATAATATTACTTTTACGTAAAAGAGGTTTTGAATCATAATTGGTAAGTTTCCCCTCACATTGGTGTGTAATCGTGTCTCTCCTCGAGAATGTGAACGATTGTGGCGATTGCTCGGATTAGCAAGCCGATCCCTGAAATGATCGGAAAGCTAAGAATCACTTTTTTGGCAATTAGGCTCACTTTTCAAAGCAAACTCACCGACAATCACATCGGAAAAAGCCAGCAAACAAATCAGTCCATTGTACGATTTTGAGCGTAATTTTTTGTATCTTTGAATCGTAACAATGATGAAAATATTGCCGAATATTGCGAGAAAAGCGAAAATAAACCGTAGAACGAGAAATACCGGCTGCTGAACCACTTGGGTCATCGCCCTGTAATCGAAATTCCCGTTACAAGGGTTATTTTTGAAATTTTCTCATTGAAAACAGGATTTCTCTTTGCTTTCCGAAGACTTATAGTTCAAAAATAGGCTCGCGCTTCTCAAATTTCAATTATGTTCGTTTCGGTTCTCGAATTTCGGGAAATTAATCGAACAAAGTGACATCGGGGGATAAAATCGAACTAAAACGCTCGTGAAAGATCAAAAAGCAAAAATCTCTTCCCATGCCGGGAATCGAACCCGGGCCGCGTGGGTGAAAACCACGAATCCTAACCACTAGACCACATGGGATGAGGGGAGGGGACGGGAAAAGAGCTTATCTCTCAAAGGGACGTTGGCTGACAGGTGCAAAAGTTGAGAGAAAAACAAGTAGATTTTATGATTTGGGACTCAAATTTTTCAGAGATTTTTATAAAAAAAAGTTTTCCAGCTTAATTAATAAGAAAGTTAGAAACTTAAGAAAGTTTAGAATAAAAGAATCAATGAATTCTGTAAAAAGACGACAAAAAGATGACAAAAACAATAAAATAATGTCTCTTGGGATATCTATGAAAGATCATGTCTTTCAAGATATTCAGTTATTCACTCGAAAAGTTAATTAACCTCGAAACTACCACGAAAACAAAGTGAATCAAGTCAGAGATTCGTTACAAGATTCAAGCTGTAGTCATTCCTGAAACATTCCTGAAACCACAGCCTAAGCCTAAGCCTAAAAACCCAAATAGACTTAGTACTAGGCGCTAGCCGCTAGCCTTCGCACTAAGTCCAAGCCTAAGCCTAAGCCTAAGCCCTCCTTGCACCCGAAATCCTTCCACAAAATGACAAAAACCCCGAATTTTTCAATATCAAACAAATATCGGCTCAAAATGTGGCCATCTTTAGCCAAAGAAAATGAAAGAAAAAAATGATTGGAAATCCTTTGAATCTTTCACCTTTCCTAGCAGCACCCCATTTCGATGCTTGCTTTAAAGAGACTATTTCGTTGCCAATTCCTCTTTTTCCCTTTCTCTGAATAAAGAAGGTGTTCAACGCCCATTTCGTCTTTATTTCAAAGCTAAAGAGTAATCGAAGAAACGAAAGAAAGCAAAGAGAAGAGCTGAAATTCCAATCAAAGAGGTGAATATCTCTTCTCATCAAAATGGAAAAGCCCCACGTGGAGAAAATGATTCAAACGAAGGGATTCCCCCTTTAGTTGGAATTTCATTTTGATGGACAACAACTTTTGACACTGGTTTCCTGGGCTTTGTAGAGCTTTTCTGATCATGAACAACAGTTCTTAAGCCTTATAGTCTCTTAGAACAGAATTGCTTAACTTTTCTTGACACCAGACTTTAAAAACTGAGCTAAGATCAAGAATTTTGAATCTAGAAGTTCTAGAAGTTCTTCTACGAGCTGATTCAGGATTTGAACTATTCAAGAACATTGCGATCCAACTGTCTCAAAGCTATGGACAAGATCAGATCAAGCTAGAACCTGGGCCGGATCTGATCTTCTCCATAGCTTTGAATCAATCAGAGTCAATCCTGGGCCGGATCTGATCTTCTCCATAGCTTTGAATCAATCAGAAGTCAATCCTGGGCCGGATCTGATCTTCTCCATAGCTTTGAATCAATCAGAAGTCAATCCTGGGCCGGATCTGATCTTCTCCATAGCTTTGAATCAATCAGGAGTCAATCCTGGGCCGGATCTGATCTTCTCTATAGCTTTGAATCAATCAGAAGTCAATCCTGGGCCGGATCTGATCTTGTCCATAGCACTCTAGAAGTTCTAGAAGCGCTTACGAGCTAATTCAGGATTTGAACTATTCAAGAACATCAAGAACATTGCGATCAAACTGCTTTAAACAACTATTAATAACGATGAACAACACTCAACAATTGCAAACAAACAATTGCTTTAAAAGAGAAACAATTGTGAGAAAGATTTAACAATATCTAGTTCTACTTTTAAATTTAAATAGTTTTTCGATTTCGATCTACACGTGGAGTTGAAAAGAAAAAGATTGGCCTTTTTTGTGAGGGTTTTTTTGCTCTCAATGGGTTGCAATTTTGAGAGGCGCCTTGCCAGGATGGGAGATCCCTGGAAATGAGTTATTTGAGGCGCATTTGAGGCCCATTTGAGACCCATTTGATTCCTCTTCTCCCTTTCTTGACTCTTTTCCATCCCCTCACGTAGCTGAGCTTTGAAAATCGACAAAAACGCAACGTATTTGCTTACTTAGTGCTTTTGATTGAAAAGGGTTAACCTTTTAAGATGAAAGGGAATGGGATGAAAGATGGTGGATAACAATAATTGTAGGACTTGGCAAGTGAGCAGAAAGGATTTAGAATAGAATCTTTGAACGTGAACACTTGATTTGTTTCCTTCAAGTTGTCATGCCCAGCTACAGAGGTAAACAAAAGAAAAACAGCTTTGAAACAAGCCTTTTAAAGAAAGACAAAATTTTGGGTTCTATTTGTGAATATCTCCTTTCGAAATCTCCATTTCCGGGATGAATCACTTTGGGGAAAATTGCAAAAAAATTGGATTTCTTATTCCATTTTAGGTCTTTTTGAGGATGAGATTTGTGGAAATGAGGTTTTTTTGAATGAAAAACTTTGATTATGAACTTTTTGGAGATTGAACTATATTTGCTATCAAAATGGAATCAAAAAGATTAGAAGGAAACAGAGGAATTCAATTGTTAGGGGATTATTGGGTCGGTGTCGATTAGAATGTCGATGTTGATTAGAATGTCGATGTCGATTAGAATGTCGATGTCGATGCTTGGGTCGATTAGTATTCTGTGAATCATAATGAATGTTTTCGTGGTTACTCTCTACTTTATATTCAACTCCTATAGAAATTGATGACACGGAACACTTTCAGGAGAAAATAATATGGAGTTAAATGAGATGAGATGAGGGCGGACGGGAACATTATCCATTCATTGACAACTAGAGAGTTCAGTGTGATTATGGAATTCAAGTACAGCGTTTAAATGAGTAAATGAGTACTACTTGGAATAGCTATCGAATGAACTGTATCCATGATTCAGACCATGATTCAGACTTGAGTAAGGTAGATGGATCAAAGCTTTAACTGGGTAAGAGAGCGAGAAAGATAGCTTTATTGATTATTGAGTTCAGTGTGACTATTGAACTCAAGTATCGCGTTTAAATAAGTAAATGAGTTAACACCCTCTGGAGTAATGGAGATCGAAGGCGTTGTGGTGTAATGGTTAGCACAGTTGCCCGGTAAGCGAGAGCATCGACATCACATCGACAGCATCGACATAGCAAATATAGTTCAATTGATTCCATTTTGAGTCCGGGTGGTGCACATTTTTGATCTGTTCCAGCTAATGAATGCCACTTGGAATTGCTATCGAATGAACTTTATCCAGACCATGATTTACTTGAGTAAGGCAGATGAATCAAAGCTTTAAGAGACAAAAAATGGGTTTATTAAAGCGTTACCGAATAGATCACAAACTTTTTAAAGTGTCAAAAGAACAAAAAACTGCCGACATGTAGAAATCAATGTGTAGACGTTAAAAGCTTTCGATAAGATGCACTTTTCATGACCGGAGACACTCATAAAAAAGGCCGAAAGGCACTGACAGACAATAAAGTTTAAGTGATTCGCACCCAATGTTTCACTCGTTTTTGAGGGCAGCAATAATGCCGGAAATTAGCGACGATTAAAAATGTTACAATTCTTGGTGTTAAAGTGAGATTGACAGGAAATTTGAACGCTGGAATGACTCTTAGCACAATGATTGTTACTGCAGTTATTGTAATACAATTAGATTCCTAGTATTATTATAGTTTTTTACCTCTACAAAAGGACGTCTCTTCTCGAGTTTTTCCTCAGCACATTGTACGAGCTGTTGTCCCGTTTCAGCGTTGATGATTGACGACAAGTGATCACCTGGGAATTCGAATTTAAATTAAATTCGTTAAATTTACATTTATTTATTAGAAAACGTTGAAAAGTGTAATCAAATCAAGATTGAACAAATGACAAACACTTTAAACACTTTAAAAGTATCTAAATCTGGTGAAGAGTTCTAAAAGAGCTTTAAAAGTATCTAAACGAGTTCGTGCTTTCTAAAACTTGACTTCTTCTTGAGAAGCTTGAGAAAAAGGGAGTCTTTTGTGAAGTGAAAGTCTTAAAATAAGCCCATTTCACCTGTATCATGTAAGTTCTCAACTCCTCGTATTTCCATCCATAAATCAGAATGTTCGAAGCCGAGTTGAAGCCAGAGACTAATCCCCCATAGATGCACACTGCAGAGAACCAACTTGGGTCCGCCTGAAGAGAGGAAAAGTTCAAAAGGGAATTCGGAGCCAGCATTGTTCTCAAAAAGACATAGCTTGGTGAAAAAAGGATGAGAAAGAAGAGCTTAAAGCTGTAAAGAATTGAATACTAAATTTTATTCTCTATTGAAAAGGTAAGGTTATTGTTGTAGTAGTATTTATTATATGCAAGTAGACCCAATCCTGAAAAAAAGTAAATTCCCATGCCGGGAATTTACTTTTTTTTTATTAAACCCGGGCCGCGTGGGTGAAAACCACGACTCCTAACCACTAGACCACATGGGATGATGAACGCAGAGGCGTAGCCAGTGACTTTTCGTGACTTTCTAACGGCCCAACCTCCTCGAGGCTCAATCTCCAATCAATTTCCGACCAAGGAATTATATTTTTGAAAGATGAAAGAAAGACTACAAAACTAAACAGTTTTTTGAAAAAATTCAAAAGGCTCGAGGGTTTTGCATTTTAGGGCAAAAATTTCGATAAAACGAGTTTTTAGGCATGAATAATTGATTTTACAAAACTAACGTGATGATTTTCAGAAAGAGGAAATTTGACTAGGGGCGGCTGACCAACATAAAAAACGGTTGGCCGCTAGTTTTTGAAGTTGGCCATTCTCACCTTTTTTGAGTTTTTCAATTTTCCTAGAAGAAAATCTCGAAAGAAACCCCTAGTCAAATTTCCTCTTTCTGAAAATCATAACGTTAGGTTTGTAACTGTTTAGACAGGTTTGTAGCCTGAAATCTTTAAAAAATATAATTCCTTGTTCGGAAATTGATTGGGGGTAGTTTGAGTTGAGGAGGTCGAGCCGTTAGACTTAAAGTCACGAAATCCTGGCTACGCCTCTGCAGGGACCGGGCTGGGAAAAGGTCTTTCTAGATCGAACTCACCTTTGCAAAAACGCCAATCGACACGAAAATCGCGGGCATCATCGTACAGCAAATGTACGTCAACAGAACCAGCGAGATCGTGAAAAAGACCTTAATTTGTGAAGCTCAAACTATCCTCAATGGCCGACTGGCTAAGAGCCCTGTATCATAGTCAGGAGGTCAAGGGTTCAATCCCGTCGCCTGATTATTTTGATTATTGCTTCTTTTTTCCCAAATATATGTTTTTTCTCTACATTTAGGTTGTGCTTTTGTATGTACGACATTTGTACGACATTATTTCTGTGAATAAATAAATGTATTCTTTAAGACAAATTATCGCAAAACCTTTCTTTGCCTCGAGAATTCCCTCTCTGAACCCTCTTTGTGGAAACCTTTTCTCACAAGATAGATCGTTACTCCATAAAATACTAAATTGTCATAGTAGAAGATTTCGAGTTATTGTAAACCCACCGAAGATCAGAATCGAGTTACCGAGGAAGAAAGGAGACCACCAGTACACAGCGAAAATCCCGTCGGTTTTTGTTGTACCTAAAATTGATCAACGATTTGGAAAGAAGGAAAGTTTAGGTTTTCATTTGCTATACTAATTCTTTAGAAAAAGCTCATTTTAGCGCACAATGATTACTCAAATTGACTTTTGGCTTAAACATTTCAATTGGCTTAAACATTTCAATTGGCTCAAACATTTCAATTGGCTCAGACATTTCAATTGACTCACTCAAATTGCACACCTCCGTGTCTCCCTCTTCGTATTGGACTTCTCTAAAGTAAAAGCTTCAAAAATAACCGTTAATAATTTCTGATTCACGATTTTTGTTTGATACAAGCAATAAAAAGATCATAGCCAAATTGGCTTTGTTTCAAACCAAACCTCAGTCTGATCCCAATCCCAACAATCGCCGGGATTAACACCAAGAAGAAGCTTTTGATCACATAAGGTTTTGGGTCCTGAAAGAATTATTAGAAATCTAAATTGAAACTTTTTTTAAGTTGAACAGGTTGAGGCTGGGAATGCAAAAGCCAGTCGGCGGGTTCGAACCGGCCACCTCTCGCTCACCAGCCGAAAGCTCTACCAATGAGCTAGACCGACGGTTGTCTCAGCTAGGCCAGGGAGGGCCTTATGCCTTCCTTGAAGTGCTTGAATTCGAATGACAGACCCGATTCTTATATCCAATTGGCGAGACAATCCCGTAAAGACGATCAAATGCGATGACCGCGATCGCCATCTGATTCATGTGATATCCAAAGAGATGCACGGCTCCAAGTATTGTACAGTATCTGTAAATGAATAGAATTTTGAATTTGCAACTCCTTAATTTTGTCTTCAAACTCACTTCATACTGTAAGTTGTCTGGCCCTGGATCTCCCCGTACACCGACTCGGCCACACGGATCAATAAACCAATGCCTACAATGGTTAAATAATACCAAAACTCAACGATTTCTTCATACCAAATTTGTTTTAAATAGCGAATTGACTTAAACTCACCAACAAAAAGATCAGCAAAGGCTAAAATTCCAATCAATCCATTGTAAGCTTTGCAACGAAGTCGCGGAAATCGTTGAATCGTGTAAATGATTAGAGAATTCGAGAAAATTGCTGTTATTGCGAAAATGAAACGACAAACAATGGCTATCCAATTGTCATAAGCTTGCATTGCTTTTCTGAATTTCATTTTGATGTTCTAATCAAAGGGAATTGAAGATGAATATAAAAACTTCAATTGAAAACATTGAAAACATTGAAAAACCTTCAAATAAATGTTAAACCTCAAAAAAACTACAATTCTTTTAAAGGTCTCAAAAAAATTGTTTCATTTCTCGAGAAATCCAACCCTCAGATATGTGAGAAAAACGAGAAAATCTCTTGGAGATGTATGTGAAGATCTTGCTCAAATTTCAAACATCAAACAGATTAGTGGAGATGAGAGAGTTACGTAGTATCACGCAAAGAAAGCTTACAATTTTTTGAAAATGCAAAAAAATTGACTTCAATCTATGGAACAATACAAAAACCTTCCAACTTTCAAAAAAAACCTTCCAAAATATACCGGAAGGATCGCGTGGAGAGAAGGAATCAATGTGAGTGTATTTTGAAATGAAACAAAACCTTCATTCGACATTCAAAGTACTCGCAGCCTCTCTATCTTCCACCTTTGTTGACTGGATATCTAAAATTTCCATTGAAAAGCCAGATATTCAACAAATGGGGGTACTGGATGAGAAAGAAACAAAGAAGCGGCTGGAAGCGGCGGACAGAGAGGGTCATTCTGTATTCTGAATCTCCACGCACTAATAGTCGATAAAGTGTACGAGAATTTTGTCTAAATCTAGGGTTTTAACATTTTTTGGGGAGATTTGATCGTCCGAAAAGAGATTAAGAAAAAAGATTGAGGATCCTGGGAAAGATCACTTGTGTCACTTGGCGGATCAAATTTCGATCCTCAATTTTATAGCCTTTTCTTCGAAAGATTGGTTTATATAGATACTTTATTCAGGACTTGAGATAAAGTGCGCTAGATTTAAGATTAAAACACATCAATTCATACACATAACACGAAAAGGGCCGATAAAAAGAAACACGATATAATATATGTAAAATGTGGGTAGCACAGATAACGTCAAGGATCCACTAGAGCTTCAAGATCAAGATCATCTACAGGTAATTTAAAGGTTTCGAGACTATTGGACTCTCTCAAAACTCTGGGGAGTCGATTCCAAATTCTGACAGTTCTTATTGGAAAAGTGTTATAAACAAACTATTTAGAGTTATAACAAACTATTAACATTTTTTTGGGGAGATTTGATCATCCGAAAAGAGATTAAGAAAAAAGATTGAGGATCCTGGGAAAGATAAACACACTTGGCGGATCAAATTTCGATCCTCAATTTTATAGCCTTTTCTTCGAAAGATTGGTTTATAATTAAAATTTTGATCGTTTCAACTGTTACAAATCGAACAAGAGTGATCTTAGTTTAAATTACCGTTAGACTAAATGCAAGTTGTTTTAATCTACAGAAGCTCAGAACAGAGAGCACAGCAATTCAAAGCATAAATGTATGGACTCTGCAAAATCGAATATTCTGCAAAATTAGGTAACCTCTTTCCACAGCCCTATAGAAAAGTCTTATCAGAATGCAATTTTCCCCATTAAACCAATCCTCATTTTCTCTTGAAAGTGTAAAAAGGTGAAAAAAAAGCGAGAAAACAATCAGGATACACGTGGGGATGGGGAAAGCCCAATAAATGAAACGTTTTCATCTTTTTTCTTTTCTTTCTTTCCGAGAAATTTCAATTTCCCCTTCAGAAGCTCAATCAAACCTTTTCGCACATTTAAAAGTAGGCATTTCTGTGAGAAAGATCGAAGATTCTCAAGAGCAACTCTTGACGTAACGAAAAAGTGATTTGAAAGTGTGCCTTTTTTTGCATGCTTGTGACATTTTTGTAGCATGGAAACAAAAACCTAAAATAGTAAAGAGAAAAAATCAAAGCAATTCAAACTTTAGAAATCAAGCTTTCTCTTGCGTAAAATGCGTAGATAAACAAAATCTCTCACTCATAAACAATAAACGATCGAAGACTAGAGGAAAGTTAGCTTAGAAAAACTTTTTGCAAAAAGCATAAAAACTTTCACAAAAAAAAACTTTTTTGCGAACACTCACCCTCGGAAATTCTTTTAAAAGACTGGTTTTCTTTTTTGAGCGATCTGAGGGGAGAAAAAAGGGGTAAATTAATGAAATTTCGGGGGGTTCTCCCATTTGGGTGAAACGAAATAACGAAGGATTACTCAACTTGGATGCGACGGCTTCCGAAATGGGCTCCATCATACGTGTGTTGGTAGGAATTTTGACATCACCCAAGTCTAGCAAACGGTAAGCGCAATCTAGTCGGTTTTGTTCCATTTCATTTGATTGATTCAGTGCCATTTTAAAAATGCTGACGAAAACGACACATTTTTTGTAGTTCACATGGTATTTTTCCGTCAGGCAAACTTTCCGTGTTTCATTCAGAAATAACATTTATAAAAACTAACAAATTTCTAAGCTGATAACCACCGGTATTGTAACTGTAGGGTATTTGTAACTCTTTCTCCTGCCAACTTTTAAAAGGAACAAACAAAGATTGCAATCGAAAGTTTGGATTGCTCTAGTGGCAGGAAAGAGTCACAACTACCAATATAGATATACACGCATGAATCTGGGGTTTTTCAGGCAAAAAACAAAGAAAAGTGAAAAAATGAAGAGTTACAAATACCCTACAAGCAGATTGATGAAATGCAACCCCCATAAGCAAAACAGAAAACAAAAAAATCTTACAGCATTTCCCCTAAAACACGGTACCAATAAGTTTGACACAACTATAAACTTTGAGGTAGCAATAAATTCACTTTTTCTTGTTTTTGTTTTGTACCCTGGCTGAATCGACAAATATTGCAGAACCGGTTGTCAAAATTTGAGCATCTTGAGACGATTTGGGCTAAAATATTGATATTAGATATGCGCCAGATAGTCTCAGCCCTTTTTAGTTGTACCATGTAAGAAGGTACTCAAACTTCATACCAAGCTTTTAACATTGGTAAAACTCACCACAACACTTTCAAAACCCGGTGGTGGACCAAATGAGAGCCCATTTGAAGCCGTTGTTACAGGAGTTGTAGAAAGCATCTAAAAACTTTACTAGCAAGTTCAAAATACCTCAAAAATACCTCTTTTGTTGATGGGGCAAGACCGGGCGGTGGTTCTGGAGCAGTTGTAGTCTTCGAAAAGCCAGAAGCCAAATTGGACAATACACCAGAAATCGAGAACATCTAAAGAACCCTTTGTTTTTGAAAAGGATTGAAAGTGATTCGTTTCAAAGCCCAGCCTTACCAAATTTAAAAACAAATACACCAAATAGGTGAAGGGGAGCTCGAAAGTGAGTGCCGGCTGAAAACGTGTCACATGCACCCGAGCACAAGCCAAAGGCCAACAAAATGTTTGATTTTTTTCAAAGGATGTACCCCAAAAAGTCCTGTAGTAGCTGGCTCTTGTGGTGTCGCCGCTTCAATTGTTGATGTCTTCGTCGATGGTTTTCCATCTTTTGCCTGAAGTGGAGGAATGAAAAGAAAAAGATAAATTTAGTACCTGTATTACTGTTTTAGCCCCCGCTTTTGGCTTCTTCTGTTCATTGGGTAATGAATCTAAAAAGCAGGCTTTAAAAAAAGATAGCCCTTATCACTGACAAGGCCTTAAATTTTGTATTTTTTAAAGATCATTTACTTTATTGCAAAAAAAAACCTTTCACTTCATTGTTATTAACAAGTCGGCTAACTTCGGACATTGACTTTAGGCCATCGGTTGTCTATAAATGATTGTTTAATAAATAAAATTTTATTGGGACTTTCACCTTAAGTTCCTCGTCACTTCCACTCTCCTCTTCCTCATTTGAGCTCAAACGTCGATTCAATGTCGAAAATCCTGTCGGTACAACAACGTCAATGATTTGATTCTAAACTAGTTACATTTAGAAAGCAGATCTCTAAAAACCTTTTCATTCTTTCCCTTTTTCATTTTCATCGGTTTCGGCTTTGTCGGCACTTCCTCCCATTCTGGTTCAGGTGGCTAAAGCAGACCATATTAAATAAAATAACTATGGAAACATTACCTCAATATACTCATGCGGTTCGTTGGCTTCTTGGCGTTTCTTATTCTTTGGTTTCTTTTTCTTTTGTTGAGATGGTTGAGCATGGATGATTAAACCACCCGAAGAGCTTTGACTTGTCGCTACCTAAAAGAAAGATTACTACGAAGTAGCTCATACAAATACAATGCAAGCTCTTCAATAAGTTCACCTTGCTAGCCCAATTCTTTCCCTTGGCTCCACTTTCTTCGTGAGTTGTCGAATTTGATGGAAGTCCCGGGAAATCTTCAACCGGTCGCGCCACTTTTCGAGCTTTGGTTTGTTGTTGTGAACCGGTGGATGGTGGGCCGCCTAGAAGCAATGAAACTTTATTTATAAATAATTAAAGTCACCTGATGGTGCAGGTGGTCTCGCTCTCGGGACATCCTGATCAATGATTTCAAATTGGCCCTAAAAATTTAATATGCGTTTAAAATTGTAAATACAAACCGTATGTCGAGCCCATTGTGCATTCGGTGCCTTTACAGGCACGCTTCCTCGGCCAAGCGACGGGAAGGCTTCAGCTTGGGTAGTTGCTCCCTGAATCAATTTTTTATGAAACGTACAGAAAATGATTACAAATTTCAAATAGTATTACAATTCGATGCTGGTGCCAGACTTTACTTGAGTCCTAAAACTCGCGAGAGTCTTCAGCTTTAGACCAATGTAATCTCTTAAGCAGTCCACCAAAGAATTTATATACCTTTTGAGAAGTGGCCTGCTGTGTTTTGGGAGCAAACGGGTAGCTGCCTCGTGGTGGACCTGCACTTGTCGAAGCACCAGGAAGTGATGGGAATTGCTCTCGATTCGCCGAAGTATCGTAGGCGGGTCGAGCGTGAAACCGAATTGGGCCTCGATGTTGTGCAGAGGGAACCATTACGAATTCTGATCTAAATTTGAATGTAATGCCCAACAAGTTCAGCTTTGCTTTTTTATAGCGTAATCAACCATCCTAAACTTTTATACAAGAACCCTAGTTAAACATACGGATCACTTTGTGTTTTTTGCACCGGCTCAGCTGGCACAACGATGACTCCGCGAGTTGGCGGTGGAAGATTGGCTCTAAATATAACATTGGTTAAAGATTTGTTTACTTGAGTAGTAGCACATCTAGAGTATCACAACGCAAAATGTACCGAAATCGAGGAGTGTACCTTTCTTCCGCTTCTCTATTCATTTGCCCCCCTCTTCCCCGTCCTCGTCCTCCGAGTTGTCGACCGGCCATCGGAAAATCGATTGCCAAGCCTTGTCTACCATTTCCATGCTCTTTTGACTAAAACAAGAATTTTAAACTCGCATCTATGCATACCATATGTAGTTTCAGATCCATTTGATTTGAGAAGGCGATGCCAGCGTTTTTACATTCCAGCACATCACAAACCAAGTGCTCCTTGGAATAATGATCAGTTAGATCAGAATGCCTCCTAAATAAAAAGGCTTTTAGTAAAGTTAGCGAGAAATACCCATAGAAAATATTCATCGCAACACCTTCCGCCTCGCAGAATTGACAAAAGAAGTGATCTTTTCGAAGATGGCTAAAGGAAATCAATACAATTGATCGTTTGCGACTTTCTACCGATATCTCGCCTCCTCATCAAAAAATCGTTGTTCGCAGAAAAGACACGAAGGATGACCTAAACAAGAAGTAAAAACTGATTAGATTTTTTATGGTCTGAAGTTGTCTTTCTAGCTTGCAGTTTTCTCTTTTAAGGAACCTAATCATTAACCAACCTTTTTGACTTTTATCTTCTGGGTCACCATTTTTGATATGCCGCTGTAATTGTTCTCTAAAACAATAATTTAAATATTTCTCAGCCATTAGACAAACCTTGTATAAGTTTTCCGCTCTCTTGAAAGCAAATTGATGTTGTCCGTGCAAATGTGGCAAAAACTGAGTTGATGCACTTGAGACATGTGCTGACGAAGGGAGACAAAAGTTGGGAATTCTTTTCGTTCACCTTCTTCTCTAAAACCGTGTATCAGTTATTTAAATTTAGATTAAAACTAACACTTTGCATACTTTGCAAACATGTGCAAGATACTTTTCATAACGTTCACCGGCAGAACCATTTTGAAAGCTAAAATAAAAGTATTTTTATACAGCTACAATGATTACCGTATTTTATAACGTTCCTCGTCAGGATGCTCAGATGTTGGCAAATTCAAGTCTACCGTTGATAAGCCAGCTTTAGCAAAGAAAAAGCACATCTAAAATAAAAGGTTGAAATACAAAAATCAATGCAAACTATGTCAATCTCTGCTCGACAAACAGGGCAAGCTGACTGACCACAAATGATTCTAAACTTTGTTAACAAAGGTGGCTATGTTTAGAAATTACCGTAAACGAATAGAACATTCGATGCAAAGTGGATGACGACATTGACCGATACCAAACAAATCGTTTGGCTAAAAGAAAACTAATTAAAAATGGATTACTTATTTGTACTCATTAAACAATCCAGCTTACAAAAATTTAAAAACTGCTTTTAATATTAGTAAACTTTGTAGCAATATCAACTTTTTATTGGATCGACCAAACCTTGCAACAAATCGTGCAATCCTCTTTGACACCCTCCGTCTGAACGATGTCCGCAAAGTTGTTCTGTGCATCAGCGATCATCCTGTAATATTTCCTCATGTCGACTTCTCCGGATCCTTGTTGTCGTTGCGGCCGTCTTTCTCGATGATCCACATCTCTTGTCTGATTGTCTCCACGAGTTTGTTGACGAGGATGTTGTTGTTGGTTGTTGGTATGGTTGTTGTTGTTCTTTCGATAATAGCTTCGTCCGCCTCGTCCACCCGAGGACCCGCCGCTGTTCTCTTGGTTGGCTAAAAATTAATTATCATTAAATGAAACTCTAACTTCTCTTTTTTATTCAACAACTACCTACTTATTCTTTTCCAAAATTCAAAATCACCCCATAACCAAACTTTGAAAACTCACCAGCTCTTTTCGGGGCCTCGTTGGGTGTTGGAGCTGGCGCGGACATTTTTTCGCGATTGACGAAACTTTTCTGAAAATATAAAAAAGTAAAATTTAGCTTTAATAAAACAAAGCAATGACAAGAAATCCACGAAAGAACCAAAAAGTGGAGACTCTTTTGCAGTTTGTATTCGGTGATTGCACAAAAAAGGGACACCTTTCGCAAGACATTTCGCTGTGAGACCATAGCCGACCTCTTTTTGTGATGAAGTGGGGTTTTTGATCCAGAAAAATTCAGAACTTGGTCCGTACAGTTATGAGAAGCCGGATAGAATTGCGCAAATTCATTTAAAGATTGAAATATTGGCTTTGAAACGCATAGAACGCCCTAAAAACCACTCTTCGAAAATGAATAAATGAAAAGAAAATCTTTAGCTTACAAAGTTTACAAAGATATCCAGGCTCAAAAAGTAAGCTAAATAGTTTTTCCTTGTAAAAGAAACGTCGGGGTAGGCTAGTTTCCGCAATTTTTTTTGCGCAACAGGGTCATTTGCGCAACTGGGTCGTTTGTCCAACTCGCCATAACTTTCTTCTCAGTGGACCAATCTTTATGATTTTGGTTTCAGTTTGTAGATCTCAACAAGTGTAACAAAATGACACCAAAATCATAAAGATTAGCCCACTTAGAAGAAAGTTATGGTGAGTTGCGCAAACGATCCAGTTGCGCAAAAAAAATTGCGAAAACTAGCCTACCCCGAAAAGTCGTATAAAAGTCAAATTATAAATGTTTAAATTTTCGTGCATTGGCTGAATGTGTGTCAAGATTCCCAAAAATCAATGCTTCCTCCTATTGTTCGAAGAGCTTAACAATTCACAACACTTATCACTTATTCGTGTGTGCTTGAGAAAAGGCGATTAATTTTGGAACAAGTCAAAGATCGAAAAAGGTTATTTAAAGATATTATGTGAAGTGCGGTTGCCAATTTGAAAGATTACAATTTAACTTGCTCGACCGTACTCGAGTTCAATGGTAACAAGAGTTTCTCAGATATTTATTACGCAAATGCAAAATGAATCATCCATTGTTTGTGAAAAAGTTGAGGAGTCGAGAAGAAAATGGTGCATGCGGAATTTTAAACGATTTTGTTGAACATCGACACCCGTGCATTTGGCATTGAAAAGAAGAAAATATTCCTGCAAAAATGAAATGAGAGGAGTCTAAAATTAGATATATTTTTGAAAAGAGACTGAAACTCGCAGTATATCTTGAACGCAAACGAATTAAATCAACCACCAATACAATTGCCAAAATAAAACACCTATCTAGAGATAGACAGAAGGAGGTGCATCGCTTTTGGGCTTTCCTTGAGTGGCAGCTGATGGTGCGGCTGGTGGTTGAGACTGTGGAGAGGCGCCCATCTTTGACTGCAGTGGAAGATTCTCGTAAAGCGCTGTCTCTTCGTAAATTTCTGGAGGAACGATTGGCCCTAAAGCAAAAGGTACCATAAGTCTAACATAACACGTTTTTAATTGCCATAACTTAACAGCTCTACATCTGATAGAATGTATCAAACCACTACTTGGTGGATTCTCGCCAGGTCCGAGAATAGGTGGAGCAACCGATGATGCTGGAGTGGCCAATTTGACTTCATTTATTGGCGGTGAGATGGATCGTGGAGTGTACTCGCCATCCCTCTGTGCTTGCTGCTTCGGAGACGCAGACTAAAGAAAAAGAACTAGGTAGGCAAGTTAGCTTTTCTTTCTAACATACAAGAATTCCAAATAAATGTAACAAAAAACATTAACCCACCCTGTTCTTCGGCACACGTGAGCCCTTGGATTCGCTGCGACCACGAGCTTTGGGCTTTCCAGTAGAAGCGGAATCGGATGCCGAGACAGATTGATGACGGCGATCACCTCCAGAAACCTAAAAGAAATCAATTAGATTTTAACATGACCATAAGTAGTATTATGTATAAAGTGGTATTAAAAGAGCAACTAGCTACATAAACAAAGTTTCCAATACCTTTTGATTGCGGTATTGGGTGTAGATGTAATAGGCGACTCCAACGCTCAAAGCAGTCACTGTCACTCCGGCGACGAATTTACCCCATCCACTAAAACAAAATCAGAGTCAAGCGTCAAAGAAAGTATAAACAAAGACATAAAATCTACCTTTTCTTGGGACAAAGATACTCAATGGGGCAAACGACATCCGACGATGGTGTGGTAACTCGAGAAGGAATCAATGAAAGAAATGCTGAAGATGACATCGAAGAGAAAGGCGAATCTGATGACGAACAATTCACGAATGAGAAATTTTGTGTGCAAATTTCGTGCGTGCAATTTGTTGCATGCAAATTAAAGACTTTTCAGACAGTTTGGTAATTTTAAATGCAAATGACAACGACATCTCAAAGAGAGTCCCCCCTTTTGATATCTTTTTTTGTGTTGCCAGTTATCGTTTAGGTGTTAGTTAAGATCCATTACACCACGAAGAGACCAATTTTGTGATCTGCTGCCTTCAAATATCAACAATTTACATCCTGATACAAGCAAGACACCTAATTATAGCCTCACAAAGTGAGGTCAATGGATTGAAAAGTGAAATCCTTTTCACAATGAACGCTCTTTTCAGTCTTCCCTCTTTAAAATCTTTTCCGGAAAACCTGTGTCAGCCTCTTCTCCATTTTTCTCGCAGATTCCCCTAAGCGAATTGATTTTCTGTCATTTTCTTCTCGATGACTCGGAAAGTTTCTGCCAAATGACTTGAAAATATCTCACCTGATTGAGTTTAAATTGTCCAAAACTTGGGTTGATAAAGATTCATGCATAATTTTATACTTTTATTGAGCTTTTAATCCATCAAGTGTTTCAGTACTTTTGAACAAGACCACATTTCAATTGTATTTTATTTTCCATAGCTTTTTTTTGTCTTTGATCAGGTCTCTAAACTATTGAACTCTGAAGCAAACCTGTATTCCATAAACTTCTAAGGCCACGACACTTTCCCCCGATCTAATTCCCGTTTTGGCCTATCTAAATTCAGGCTATCCAAATTTTTACAATGACCCGCCTACCCTTCTGGCACGTTTCAAATTCCAAATTAGATAAACGTGTCACTTGTGGAGACTTGTTCCCATTTGGTTTTCTCTTATCAGAATCGCCTTTCATTTCCCCCTAGTAGCCTCCCATTCATTTATACAGTCTATCCTTCTTGAAACTTTGTCTCACCTAAAACACTATTTTGAAACCGATATATCACAATATATGAGAAAGATTTATACATAATTTTATGTTTTTCTTGAGTTTTTAATCCAGCAATTGTTCCAGTACTTGTGAACAAGAGCATGTTTTGACTGTGTCTTATTATGCATAGCTTTTTTTGTCTTCGGTCAAGTCTCTGAACTATTAAATTCTGAAGACTTATAGCTCTAAAGACATTCAATTATGCTGAAACCAATTGAATAGCTGAAGAACTGAGATAACTAATAAGTTAGATTAGAGGAGATTACTTATGCTTTCCGATCAATTTGCGGATCTCAAACTCTCACTAACAGCTTTTAATATATCAAAACCGTTTTTCATTGCATTGTGTTTAACGATTTTTGTTAGTTTCATCGGATTATTCTTTCTCATAGCACTTAAACAATCTCGAATCTTATTTAGTAACTTTTGCAATCTCAAATCATGCGGGTACTCCTCTGTTTGGCCACTTTCGCTCTCTCATACACTCTTGCCTGTGAAGACGGAGTTGACAATATCCTCAGAATTCATGATTCATTGAAAGGTGAGAATATAACTTTAAAAGAAAAGTAACAAGTCGAAGAACAGTTAGGCAAAAGTCAAAAGGGCTACAACCATTTAAAACCTCTTCTAAATTTCCCGAACAATTAGTTTGACCACATTTCATCGATTTGTTCAGTAGCCAAGGCTTTGGTGGTTTTTATCACTGATTCGATGACTCGCCCTTTTATGAGACTCCCTCCTGAACACAGCCACTGTTTGATTTACACTCCTCTGACTAGATAAGAAGCTTTTAGGAGACGTTGCATTAGGAATCATAAATAGGAACTGAAACTGAAAAGGGAATGATTGGAAACTGTTAAAAAGGGATGGTGTTGAATGAAGCGTTGAATGAAGTGATGAATGAACTGATGAATGAAGTGATTCGTTGAATGTTGAATGAAGCGAAGTGTTAGCTGAGAATTACTAGAGCAGTAATGATAGGTACCGCGAGCCATCTTTGAACTAAACCTTGTTACATTTTTAAAAAAGAAATTTTCAGGAAAAGGCAGAATAGCCTTCGAAAATGTCGAACTTCTCACCTATGATGGCGTAAGTTTGTACTTGTACTTGTACTTGCGTAATTTCGTAATTCGTAATTACTCGAACAATCTCTTTTCAGCATAAAAACCCGGCTTGTGATGAGGGCAAGGGAGTCTGGAATTTTCCCGGATTTTTCCGACTCAAATCGGGTAAGTGTCATTGAGCTAAAGTTGTTGACAAAGTTGACAAATACTCAATCTAATATCGCATCTAGATCATCATCTAGATCACGAAATTTTCAGGCAAAGTCAAGGTGACCAAAGCGGTGAAAGAGTCAGAGGGAGAGTTGAAATTGGCGCTTTCTTTGGAGAAAAACTCGTGGATCATCGGAACAGTTTGCGAGAATGGAAAGAGCAAAAATCAATTTGTGCCAGCTGAGATCTGGTAAAGAAAAGATTTCAATCGTAAACTATGAACAAATTCCAGTGACTTCCCATTGTGCAAATTTGCCCAAGACAAATGCAAGATGATCGAGCAAGCTGGAGAGTTCGACTTGACCGAGTTGACCTCGACAATGGGCCCAGATAACAATGGATTGATCGATATGGGACCATTGCCGATCCCACAAATTGATGTGAGTCCTCGATAAGACCCTCGCTTGGTATGTAAATGACTGGCGAGGTGTTCTTTGTGCGCCCACGTAATCGCTCTCCATCTGGCAAACGGCCCTGGATGGGGTGGTGCGCTTTTGGAATCCGTCAAGGTAAAGGGACGGTGAGCGAATGATCCTCCGGAACGCTTGGGCGCGCGTAGCTCATTGGTAGAGCGTCCGACCGGTAGGCGAGCGAAGGGACAAGGTCCGGGGGTTCGAGTCCGGGCGTGGTTATCTTTTGTATTGCCAACCTTAACCGATCAAAGAACCGGTGTACAGTGAGAGTGCTTTTACAGTACATGTGAAAACAGATGTACTGTTTTCACATGAGTTCATCAACCTTTACAATGAACTTTACAAGAAAAAGAAACTTCCAGGGAGAATGGGCTCTTTCGGTGAAATTGATGCAAGGTGCCCGTAAATTGGCGGGTCTTCAAGTCCAAGAGGACGATCAATGGTTCAAAGTGGCCGCCGACTCGTTGAACATCGCCGATGTTGTGAAGAAGACATCCAAGCCACAACCAGCTCCTCCTGGCGCTCAAGTTCATGATGAATTCTAAACTCGTTCTTCACTTTGCTCGCTAATTCTGTGATTGTTGATGTTTCTTGTTTTCTTTTTCTTTTTCATTTTTCTCAGACTTCTGGTGATAAATTTTTGATCGCATTTGCGATTCCACCTTAATTAATTAGTCCAAAAAATGGCAAAATCAAAGTTTAGTTAGGTACAGTACTAGACAATGGAATATCATATTTGAAAAACGATCGTCACTTTCGCACGTCTGTAACTCCCTTGTCTTTGAGTTTAAACTATTAGTGTTATACATTTTCTGAAAGCTCTTTTCAAGGGCTACACAATGGTAATATTAATGTTTAGAAATACCGTATTTTTTCAGCGCACGCAAAAGTGACGATCATTTTTCAAATATGTCCAGTACTGTAGGTCAAATATGTTCAGTACTGTAGGTTCATTGTCCAGTACTGTAGGTACCACAAAATCGATCAACAATTCATTGAATTCAATTCAAAATCGATTCATTTATAATCCAAGAAACACTAGCGATTTACAGCAAATTTTTCAGCAACATAAGTTTTATCGAATTATTTGATCTTAAGTCGTCCAGAGAAAGCTATTTCCAGCTTATCGTAATTCTAGCTTATCGTAGTCGAAGATTTTGAGAGCAAAAATGGAGATATCTGTGTCTCCCTCCTGATCCCTCAAATCAAATCTCATCTCGAGTCTTAAAAGAGTTTCTTTTTAAAAAGAAAAGAATCTTTTTCATTCAACATCTAGGAAAAAACTCTTTCCAAGAAAGGGAGATTAAAAGGTGAAAGCATGAGAGGCAAAGAATTGTGCGTTCTTTAGCCTCTCAAGAAGCGACATCTGGCACACTGGAAGTTTCACTTTGGCATCCCCAAGGCCCGGTTTAAATGGGGGGTAGTCAAAAGCGCCATAATAGAAAACGTTCAAAACAGCGCCGTCAAATTTCTCAAAATCCAAAAACTGAGTGATACTCAGTTGGTTAACTGAATATCTTTAGAGACACATTTTGAGTGCTCTTTTTATCTAAGAAATATTAACTTTTTTAAAAAACTGTTTCACCCATCATGTAGCCAAGAACGCAAGGAATTTTTTGGTATAAAACTTGAACCGGCTTGGTTTTTTGGATTTTGAGAAATTTGACGGCGCTGTTTTGAACGTTTTCTATTATGGCGCTGTTTTGACTACCCCCTGTTTAAATACCCAAGTCGTGTACCAGAATTCGATTAAGATCAAGCAAAGCTCTATATTGAATTAGTTCACACCTCTGAAATATCTAAAAATAAATACTTCCTGATCTCTCAAATTCAATCAGGACTTACGAACTCACGAAGAGCTTCTTCTCTATGTTTTTTTTTCTCAAAAGACCCCTTCTCCAACATATTTTGCAGAACAAATCCGTCTCTTTCCCTTTTTTTTTCCTTCAGACGATGTGCCCCCTTTTTCTTGGGTAGACGCAAATTTTTCTTTCCCCCAGACAGAGTCCCATTTCAGAATTTCTTGGGTGCAAGAGTTTGCAAATATATTTTTTTATTCAAATCCAGTAAATATTACTGTAATATTTCTCTAGATGTCTTGCACAAAATTGCATTTGATCACCGTTCGACCTGTGAGATTCTCTTCACTCATTCGCTTTCGATCAAATTATACCCGTGTTCCGAATCCGAAAATAGTCGAGGAAACGAAAGGTTGAAGAATTAAACGTACATTTAATTTTATTGACTTAATTTTTAGCAATTTAGAAATTTAGAAAGTACGGAAAGATTCGGAAAGATTCGGAAAGATTGAGGCTACCTAAGATTTGGAAAGATTCAGGCTACCTTAGTTACGCGAGGAATGTGTCAAGAGATCGAAAGTATGAGCAAAATCTCGTCGCACAGAAAGGTGATACGCCAACAACGTGAGTTTTTGAGAACTTTGAGAATTTGTGTTAAGTATTTGTGTTAAGTATTTGTTCAAAGTTGAAAGTCAAATCAAAAACTATTCAGCTTCTTCTTCCGCCGTCTTGGCCATGCCTACGAGACTTATCCCCTATTTTTTCTCATCGGTTTCTGGGCGACAATTTGCACATATTGTGTGTATTTAAGTGCTAATAAAATTGAGATCTGGCTTGATCGATGTGAGTTTTTCTGAGAATTAAAACTTAAAACTTTCGAAGTTCACTGAATCACTGAAACAAGTTCACTGAATACTTTCACGCAAAAAGTTTCAGCTCAAGAAACGGCCCCTTGGGATTGGAGCCGTGTTAGGGAAAACTACTGGAAAAAGCCGACAACTGCGTGAGTTTTTTTTGAGAAAATCTTTGTCGGTCAACTTGTCGAATTGTTTAGAAGATTCGAATTTCATTTCCAATTCAAACTACCCTAAAGTCTCGAGTATAAGTTCATCCGAGTATAAGTTCTGCCTTAATTTACATTCGCTTTAATTGCTTTGAATTTCTTTTTGTTGGGTTTTTATAAATTTTTATTGTAATATAAACTTTTATTATTGTTCTTGGAGCGCGGGATACTACAGGGTGACAGCCTATCACCATTGCTATTTGTTATGTGCATGGATACATCCAGACGATAGTGTTGAAGAAGACGCTGGAAAGCATCTCTTTCGACCGTCGACGTGGACTTTGGCCGGATGAAGAGGCCAGGGAGGGATCCATAAGACTGAGCACCGGAGAGGAGCAGGGCGGACGCGCCGAGCCACGCCCGGAGCAACAAATAACAGCATAAAATTGCTATAACCCTCAATAAATTTACTTCTATTATTGTTCTTAAAAAGCAAAAAAGTTATGCTGCAGCGGGGTTCGAACCCTCGACACACCGCACCGGAGACAGCCGTCAATTTGCATGCGAAAACCAAACAGAACTTATACTCGCGACTTTAGGGTAGTCAGTTCCCCAATAGAAAATTCTAGTTTTGACCTTGACAATCGGACTCATCAACGCTTGGAGATTATGGAAAAGTTGCAAGATGAGATGCTTGAAGCGGCGAAGAAAAGAGGCACAAGATAATCTCGATTCTCTCATTTATTTCATTTTCCTCTCAAGCTCTATTTTTATATAAAGTTATCTAGGTTACAGTACCTTTTGATAGTACAATCTAACCTTTGAACAGTGACCTTTTAGCTAATTACAGTAACTTCTAGATCCAAATTGACCAAACCGGTATTCTCAGTCAATTCCCCAATAGAAAATCCTTATTCTATCCGTTTTCTGTATCAATAAAAACTAAAAATTTATTAGCTTCCAGAAATTTTGCGCAAATCAAATCAAAAAAAAAGCTCGGTTTCCCGATCGGAACTCTATAAAAAAGCACTAATTCCCCTGACAGGCTACTCCAAAAAGTACACAAAATATCACAAAAATTTTGCAAATTCTCGAATAATTGGCTTTCTTTCTAGCACAAAAAGCTATTCTCAAAGTAAAATTCCGTTTTTTTTCTTTTCTTCAGTTCACCGGGGTTCCGACAGCGTTGCTGATCCGTTTGAAGCATGGGGAACAAGTTGGGGAAGTGCCACGAGCAAAACGACTGAATTGGAATTACTGTAGACATCTATTGACTGGAATTACTGGAGACATCTATTGACTGGAATTACTGGAGACATCTATTGACAATCTATTAGTCTAATACAATTTAACTATTAGACAATAGATATATGCAGTATAATGTGTAGAATTTTGGGGGTATACTGGTTGAGTAGTGGGCGCAGCTCCCAAAATGCCTCTGGCAAGTACCCCGAATAGTTTTTCTAGGGTTTTCGACTACGCTGAATCGATTAGTGACACTTATAGAGCTTGTTTGTGTTTTATTTTGTGGTCAAACAGTTCTAGCTTGTGCCCGGTAACATTGCATGAGCCGAGGCGAGTCTTAGCCTGTGACTGGCCAGTGCTCTGATGTGACAAAGCTGTGCCCAACAACTATTCTAGGTCTGCGGAGCCTTAGCCAAGGTAAATACGTGCAGACGGGTGCAGCAAGAAGGGTGGCCGTAACACTGCTAACACTATTCGATTACAGCATCAAGTCTATCCCCGGCTAGCAACTTCGTGTATGCCAATCTAAGCTTAGTGTAACGCAAACAAACTCTGAAAATATTACCAATCGATTCAGCGAAGTCGAAAACCCTAGAAAAACTGTTTTGACATTTGCTAGAGGCAATTTGAAAGCCCCGCTCACTGGCAAAGAATTGTGGGACATTTGATACGCGCCCCACCTCTTTTACCATTGGCAATTCAACTTTGCGCTCAAATTTCTTGAGGTTGGACTGTCCAATTTCAATAGTTTTTGTACCAATCGACAGAGAAAGACTTTGCACATCTAATGATACAAAGAACATTTAAATTGGACAGTTTAACACCAAAATATTTGAGTTCAAAGCTAGATTGCTAATGGCAAAAGGGGCGGGATGGCGGCCCTTTTATACGCGCCCCGCCCCTATGCGATTGGCAATCCAACTTTAAACTCAAATATCTTGGTGTTAAACTGTCCAATTTCAATAGTTTTTGTACCAATCGACAGAGAAAGACTTTGCACATCCAATGATATCAAGAATATTTAAATTAGACAGCCCAACACCAAGATCTTTGAGCTGAAAGTCAGATTGCCAATGGGGAAAGGGTGGGCGCGCGTATCAAATATCCGATAACCTTCAAAGCTCCAATTTTTTTTGACTCACGCTCCTTCCTCTTCAGCGATCGCCTGTCGAGTGGCCGAGCTGAGGTATGGAGCGCCGGAATGGGGATATTGACTGAATTTTTGGAAATTAGTAAGGAAAATGGATAGTAGTGCTTTGTAGTTTAAATGTAAATTAAAAACAGATGCAACTCACCCAACAGGCAGTCCGGTTTGTTGGGAGAATTGCTCGGCAGCCGATTGAGTCGAGTAGAGGTTCATCGGTGAATTGTACTGAAGGAAAACGAGTAAAGATAAATGAAATTAGCTGTAATAATACAGCTATAATAATATAATAATACAGCTACCTTTTAGTATTCGATTTTAAAGCTTACTTGCAAATGATGAACGGAGGCCCCGGGAGAGAGCTCCTTTCGAGTTCGCGGCGAGCCGTGATAGAGCAGTTTTGAGGCTGTTTTTTCAAAGATTAGTATGAAATTCTGATTCGCAATGATAAGCATTACAACAGTTTAAGTTTAAATAACTATTACTTTTGAAATTTTCATTTACAAACCAGGAGACAGCGAGCGAGCTTTTTGAAAAGGCGACGGCTGACCAGCGCCGCCTCGCTGGATGTAGCTCTGGTCGTTGTAGTTCACGTCGGGAGCTGAAAGAGCAAAATAGGTCTAGTACAAATAATTATCTAACCAAATTGAGCTCTTCGTCCACTACCAGTTCCCTGTCCTCCCGGTACTCCCGATCCACCTCCATAACCACCGCCAATGTAGGGAGATCCTCCGTACGGAGCTCCTCCGTGCGGAGCGCCTTGACCACCTGGAGCACGGCCTTGCCCGGATCCTGCGCCTAAAAGTTATTGCTTACTATTAGATTCTGTTCTTTTAAGTTAGCTGCTCTACCGATCAAAAAGTTTTAGTTTTAGCTGCTTTCCCTGCTTTCCTTACCCGATCCAAAACCGCCTCCACTAGCGCCGAATCCCGAGTCATATGGTCGCGTGGTTTGATTGCTGAAGAGTTAAACCTCAATTGATCTGAATTCTCAAAAACCTGAATCCCCCAGTAGTCGAGCTACCAAATGGAGCTGTGGTCAACGCTGGAAATGGAGCATTCGGGTTGAAATTCGGTGGTGGGTTGCCAGATCTGGATTGGACATTATGCATCTTTTTTGGCTCTAAACTTACGTGTTGGTCCAATTCGATGAGCTGGACACGTTGTAGTTGTCAGCTGGATTGGAGCCTGGCTGTAAAAGATAGATTTCGAGAGAGTTCCCAAATAAGAAATATCGAACTTATGAGTTAGCTTACCCCAGAAGTGCTCTTGCTTTCCGATTTTGTTGATTCATGATGTTGATAGGTGTATGCATTTGGGCCAGAAGGCATCGATGGGAATGGAAGCATTGGCGAAACCATAAAGTGTTATAAAATCTTTATTTTTAAAGCTTACCATTGAGTTTTTAAAATCAAAGCCAGCTGGCGGGTTTCCGGAACTCCATTCACTCCGACTCGACACATTGTAGTTGTCCGCTGGGTTGACTCCTGGCTGAAAAGTTAGAGATTAGGCTAAAGAGAAATAAGCCTCAATTTAGCTTCGAACTAAATCTTTTCCACTTACTCCGGATGAAGTCTTGCTTTCCGATTTCGAAGCTTCGTGATGTTGATAAGTGTACGGACCAGATGAAGGCGGTGGAAGAGCGATTGGAGTTGCCTGCAAACAAAACGATCTAACGATCTAATGATTTAATGATCTAATGATTTAATGATCTAATGATTTAATGATCTAATGATCTAACGGACCTAACGATCTAACGGACCTAACGATCTAACGGACCTAACGATCTAACGGACCTAACGATCTAACGGACCTAACGATCTAACGGACCTAACGATCTAACGGACCTAACGATCTAACGGACCTAACGATCTAACGGACCTAACGATCTAACGGACCTAACGATCTAAACAAAGATCTAAGCTTCATCTTTCATCTCAAAAGATTAAACCTGTTTAGATATCTAGATTTATAAACCGGCTCCTAAACTCTTTAAGAAATATTACCGAAATCGCATTTCCTCCCGAGTTATTCTTCGACTCGGAGAAGCTCGAGTTTGTTGTCTCGTATCGAGTTGAATAGTTTTCAGAGGCCGGGCTAAATATTTTCATATGAATATTTCATATAATGAACACATAAGGACTGGGAATAGGTATAAATGAAAAATCAATGAAAAAGCGCCAAACTTTGTTTTATAGGCAGGATTTTCCCACGACGATTTTGAAGAGGCTGAGACAGCGGTAGTGTTGCCATTGTCCTGAAACTCGAATAAATAAATAAATCTCAAATATTAAAGCATTCAATTGCAAGAACCTTTTGCAAAACATCTTTTTCAAAACAAGATTTCTCGTTAACTTACAAAATTCGATCCAAATCCTTGCACATGAAGCTTGTTATCGGCTCCTTCTTGGAGTGACCAAGGGAGTGCTGGTGGATGGGACATGAATCTGAAAAAATCTGAAAGTGATCAATAAGCTAATGTGTTTGGTTTGAGTAATTCGATTTACAATACCTCCTCAAATTCATACTCATCTCCATCGTTCTCCCATCGATTTCCCGCTGAACGTCGGCGACTCCCGTGCAGCGACGACCGCTTACCTAAATGTTGTTGTGCAAAGATAAGTTCGGCATTTTTTAGAAAACTCTTTAGTTTGCTGACTAATTCTATAGGAAAAGGACTTGACAGTTTGCTCTTTCTCTCTCTTTCTACTTTTCTACTGACGTTCTTTCTCGCCGTTCAAATAAGCGCCTATAGCTCAGTGGTAGAGCTTCTTGCTAGCAGGCAAGGTGAAGGTTCGGCTTCTCTCGGTTCATCTTTCTTTCCCAAATTCTTTTGCAAATGAAAACGAAAAGAAGGGAAGAGGAAAGGGAAAAGGAGAAGAAGGAAGAGGAAGAGAAGCTGAGGAGAGAGGAAGAGAAAAGAAGAAAGGGAGAAGGGGAAAGGAAAGAAGAAGAGATGGATCTTCTCCATAGGTAAAAGCTTCACAGCTGAACCATTCATTGCTTTTTATGAAATGGAAACAAAGTTCGGATAAAGATACAAATACTAAATTACGCGACATGACCGTATTTGCAGATTTGTCGCAAACAAATAACAAAAGCTAGTTTACAAGTAACATTTTTAAACCAAGCCAACCTGATCAACGATATCGCCATGCTTGAGGCCAGCTTTATCAGCTAAAGAATCGACATTGATCTGAAAAAAAGGTGTCATAACTTTTCTACATATTAATTAATCATTTATGATTTTTTTTATTAAACTCACACTAGCGATTTGTACTTCGTTTCCCTGTGATCGCACAGTGAAACCCCATGGAATCGAGGGATCACTTCGAGACATTCGACATGTTATCGTCTCGTAGGCCATCTCTAGATTCATAGCAAGAATTAAGAACTCAACTGCAGTCTAGCAAAACAATTAGAAGTCAAATTGTTTAAGGAAAAGATATTTGGGTAATGTTGGCTAAATTGAACTTAGGCAATTGAACAATTGAACAAAATAGAATTCCTACAAAAAGCACTCAACTTTTCCCATCAAATTGCCCGCTTTTCAACTCGGCGCTGATCGCTGGCCCCGAGTGGGCTAATCTTTATGATTTTGGTCTCATTTTGTAGATCTCAACAAGTGTAACAAAATGACACCAAAATCATAAAGATTAGCCCACTTAGAAGAAAGTTATGGTGAGTTGCGCAAACGATCCTGTTGCGCAAAAAAAGTTGCGGAAACTAGCCTACCCCGTTAAATGATTGTTTAAGGAAAAAAATATTTGAGTAATGTTGGCCAAAATTGAACTAGAAAAATTGAATTTGAAAAAGAATTCCTACAAAAAGCACCCAACTTTTCACATCAAATTGCCCGCTTCTCAACTCGGCGCTGATCGCTGGCCCCGAGCTGTTATAGCAAATATATTGAGACATGAAAATAAAAAGAACGATTAGATTAGATTAAATATAGATTCTTTTCCAAAAATTAGAAATATTTTTCCTTGTTAGCTGTTGGAAATCCTCAGAGAAGAGAAGCAGAAATCGGATCTCAATTTTTTCGGGTCACCCCTCTTCACCTCTATTTTTCTCTCGCAGATCACGTTTGTTGTTGTGGGTTTTTAGATTCGAATAGGTTTAAATTCGAAAGTTGTTGATCGAGATTGGAATTGAAGTTTTTACAAGGAAGCCGACTGTTTTCTCGACTTTTCCCGACTTTTCCCCTTGATCTCACATATGTTTTGGTGAAAGATCGGAGCCTCTTTGCTTTTCGGAGGGAAATCTAGGTTTTTCCATGGAATAATGAGATTTCAACCATGGCTTTATGGGTTTTATGTAGGGTTGATGTCTTGAGCTGGGATTGTAAAAAGAGTTTAGAATAAAGAGACGAGGTTAGTCTGGTGAGGGACAAATTGGATTCAAAGAAAGAAATTGTTAAAAAATTTAAGGCAACTTGGATTGTAAACGTGATTTTAAGAAAGTATAACTTAAGCAAATAAACTTCTGAAATGTTTTTGAAGAATTGACCAGAATTAGCGACCAAAAAGAAAGGCTGAAAGTCGTTTAAGACTGACTTTTATACCATCAAAATCATTAAGCGGGAAATGGTAAAGCTCTTAGATCGTATTTTTGTATTGTATCGTTTTTTTTGATCTACTAAGTTCAATGAATAAAAAAAGGGAAGCAAAGAAACAGCAAAATTGGCAGCAAAAATGCAAAACTTAAATCGATCAGCCAATCAGCGATTTCTCAGACAAAAAAGCCTCGGTGGCCAGTTGTTTAGCAGTAAAAGAAAACACAAAAAATAGCTGAGAAATGTTTATCGTTGAAAAGAGGATGGAAAATGAGTTGAGAGATCTCTGAGTTTTTTTGGGATGGCTGTCAACAGGGGAGGGGAAGGGAGGGGAAGGGGAAGGGAAGGGTTCATGCCCTTAGGTCCCGTCCTCGTCTCCCCTCAGGTCCCCTCTTCCTCTCCCTCTTCCCCTTCCCCTTCCCCTCTCTCTTCCCCTTCCCCTTCCTCCCACCTCCATCCCCAGGACAGCTGTTCATTCTCGAATCTTTTCTTTTCAATTCCCAATCTTTTTACTGTTTAGTCCTTGAAGTCTTTTTCCAGAACATCGCCCACAATCCTCTCAGAGAAAGTTCTCATGGGAAATAACAAACACCTACTCAATCCAAGGGATCTTGAATGCACCATGTTGATGAAATAGCAATGTGAACTTGAAAAGAATTATATTCTCTTCAAATTTCATGTTTTATTTATTCATTTTTGGAATGTGTTCAATTAATTTATTAAAAAAACAATGATATTTGCAGAGACAACAAAAAAAAGACAATGATTGATCAATAAAGAGATTTCTAATACCCGTGACAGTAAATAGTGTTCTAGAACTTATTAGCTTGAAAAAGTTTGATAAAATTTTTAAAAAGTCTAGAATTTGGTGAGTCCAAAATCGCTTAATGTAGTCGTTTTCCGTTGCTGCAAATCAACACCATCAAGCAATGGGTAAACCTGAAATGGTTTAAAGTAAAAAGAATGGAAGAATGGAAAAAAATCTGAGATCTGGAATGAGATCTGGTATTTCAACCTTTGATTCAAAATTCTATAAATTTCCAAAGTTTCTCAACTGGCCAACAACTCATCGGAGTTGTTGTTTTTAATATTAAAGTTAGATAACTTTTCAGGAGGGGCTTTTTTTCCGAGTTCGAGCTCTGATTTCTCTGAAAGCAATGATTTCTCAAAGACGAACATCGAGAAAACCATTAACCCAAGCGCGAGAATTCGAGTTCGAGCTCTTACCCCAATTCAATCCGGTAAACAGAGTCTGGGTTCGCTCTCTGATGCAGCTTTTTGTTTTTGTTTTTCCTTTGGATCAACTTCTACACTTCTAGACTTCGAGAACAACTTCTAGTAGCTAATTGCATTATTGCTTGCAAAGTAGGAGTTGGTTATTCAAGTTGATACACAATATGCTTTTTTTCAATTCAATTCAATTCATTGGCGGATCCGCCAACGACGTTTCTGATTCTGGCTACTGGAACAAAGGTCGATTTCTTCACAAACCTTATTCAAATTCGATCCATTCCTCTGTTTCTCTTTTATAATCTCATCTTCTCCATTTCCTTCATCGTCTCCATTTTTCACCTCATCTAAATGCATTTGATCCTCTCCCGGTTGTGCCAAATCCGGCATTACGTTAAAGAGCAATTGAGCGAATTTGGTAGAAGATTCTGAAATGAGTTCTGAGTTCGAAATGAGTTCGAAGTTCTTATCGATAAAGCTTATCCAAGTTCTTCCAAAACCAAACCATTAACTTTCGTCGATCCACTCTTCCACCACTCTTTTGAAGGCAATGATTTCTCAAAGACGAACATCGAGAAAACCATTAACCCAAGCGCGAGAATTCCTGAAAAAGATCGATTTATTTTAGATCGATCGTTCTTAGCACTCACCAAAAATGATATAAACACCGGTTCGTCCGTCCGAATTATCCTTTTGTGTGAATGCTTGAACAACGGTGACGATGACGAGACTCCAACAAACAAAGCCGAACACCATTGGCATGAGGATGAAATTGCGGATACGATCTGGATGAACGGGAAGACCTCTGGAAATGAGAATCAGATGTCATTGACAGAATTGAGGCTTGGAATCTGCTTTCCAACTAGAGATGGTCACTATAAACTGAAAAAATGACGTCACACTACAAACGCTTCTAACTTGCTTCAAATCTACCAGATGCATATGATCTATAGTTCAAAAAATAGAGAATCTCAAGCGCTTTCGAGTGGAGCAAAGTACACCAAAAAGTATCAATGCTAAAGAAAGTTACAGTGACTTGTAGCTGACTCGATCGACTCGACTACGCGCGAGTACGGTCTACAAACCACTGTAACTTTCTTTAGCATTGATACTTTTTCGTGTACTTTGCTTCACTCGAAAGCGCTTGAGATTCTCTACTTTTTGAGCTATAGATCATATCAATCTGGTAGATTTAAAGCAAGTTAGAAGCATTTGTTATGCCATGTCTATTTCCAACCATCTCTTAACACTCACCTAAACCTCAAGAACATCAACGCCACCATTGTAAACGCTCGTTGTGACCATTGAGCCAAAGCAACATAATTGATCAAACTATCAACATTTCCTGTGAACGAAATGGCCATTGCTAGTAAAACCTAAAATAAATAGGCCTATTTTAATGAACTCGACTAACAGACATGGACAAAAAGAGCTGTTCTCGGAGAATCGGATTCGGGATTGATTGCAGAAATGAATGATGGGAGATGGCCTTGACGAGAAGCCGCTTGCAGATATCTGAAAGAGTTTCTAGAATGAAAGAGATCATTTAAGGAAGTACTGAATCAAGAAACTTGATGAGTTCTTTTGTTTGACTCTGTCAAGCTATCTCTAGCTTTACCTGGAAGCTGAAAACATTGTGCTGTTCAACGATCCGACCAACAGAATCGCCACAAAAAACGGGATTGTGTACTTGAAGTTTCCCAGGGTTTTCTCAGCAAAACTCTAAATTTTCTTTAGTATATATATATTTCTTTAGATATCTTTGTTTTAACTATTTAATTCTAGATATCTCAAAGATAGAATGGAGTGTGTTTCCACTTTTGACAAAGGTTTTGAAGAAGCTTTTGAAGAAGCTTTTGACAAAGCTATTGACAAAGCTTTTGACAAAGCTATTGACAAAGCTTTTGACAAAGCTTTTGACAAATCTTTTGACAAAGCCCACTCACCTGTGCCACAGCTGGACTATCCAGAAAATCTTGTACATCAAGAATCGTGAAATAGGAGATATTAACAGCAAGATAGATAAGCGCAATTGAGCACATTCCAATAATAATAGCTAGTGGCATTGTTCTATAGAAATTGATTATTTAAAAACAAGGACCAAGAACCTCTTCGGCTTCTCGATCTCTTCAGCTCCAAAATTGAGGATATCCCAACCATCATACGAGAAAAGACCTGCAAGTTTTGAACTTGAAATCTTATAAAAAAGATATTTTGACAATATCCATTCTAAAAGAATATCTATTCTAAAAGCTTTTTCTCTTCTTACCAGCAAATAGAGCTGTAACGATCGCGTTCGCTTCCCAAGTACTTCCATTGAAAGGCTCGGAAAAGTTTTTTGTCTTTCCTAAAGCAAATTTCATTTGAATCTTTTGAATCTTTAGAATCTTTTACACTATTTTAAATTATTTTAAACTATTTTAAACGAGCTACAATTTCTATAGAATTTCTACAATTTTTTTTTAAACGAGGTTCTAAAGATTCAAATTTCATTTGAATCTTTTGAACCTTTTAAACTATTTTAAACGAGCTACAATATCTAATAGTGTACCTTGAAATAAATATACAAATCCGGTAACAATCACAATCCCTGTTGCTGCCACTTTTGCTACAGAGGCAGCGATTTGGAAACGAGAGACGAAAGTCTTCAGCGAAAAGAAATTCATGAACATTAGAATCCCTAAATTTTTGAAAGATCATTAGAACATTGGAAAATTTAAACAATCAAATTGAGTTTTCAAACAAGTTTTCAATAAAACTTTCAATAAAACTTTCAATAAAACTTTCAATAAAACTTACAAATCAAAGCGAAACCGAGCAACATCTTTGCCCAGTATTCCTCGTTTTTCGGAAGGGAGATCTCGATTCCCTGAAATAGTTCTGAATAGTTTGAAAAGAAGTTAAATGCCAATTTCTAAACGAATAAAATAAGAATAACAACTCTTACTTTAAAGATATATTCAGAGAAAGTCATTGCTTGAACAGCAAGTGTGGCCGGATCTGAAAATTTCTCTTCCAAAGGGCCAAAACACAGGAATACCGTTTAAGGATATTCAGTTAAACAACTGAATTAAACAACTGAATTAAACAACAGTTAAACAACTGAATATCATTTACTCAAAGGGAAAGTAAGCAAAGAGAGATTTTCAAATCATTTTATTGAATCTATGCCCGATTATGTTTCTTTTTCTATTTCTATTCTATTTCTATTCTATTTAGATGAATTAAATTTGTATATATAACATATTCTCTCTAATAGTAGTGCACCCTGAGCGTTGCCTAAATTGCTCGAAATCTCGAGAACCACTTATCAGAGCCTACCGATGTGAGGTCGGAAAATGTAGCTGAGGATGAGATCTTGTCGGGGATTTGAGTGTTGAGCTTCTGCAAAAACTTAGAAACCGTTAAATAGTCATCAACTCGGCTACAAATCCACCGTAACAAATCCAACAAAGCTTAAAGAAGCTGGTAACTAAAGGAGAAGCTGATCTCAAAGAAGCTAGTCCCTATTAGGTTGGTGCAAAAGAAATTTCGGTCGATATAAAATGTTCTTATTTTTTTAATCTGAAGAGCTTATTTGATGTTCTTTTGTGCATTTGTACTCTTGGATATTTACTTTATTTTCGCATTTTTTCAAAGTCAGAGCTTTCACTTTTTAATTGATTTTTGCTTTAGATCATGGTGGATCAAAAGTATGTTCTGCGCACGTGTCTTCTCTATGACTTCAAAATGGGCAAAAACGCTGCTGATTCACATCGTGATCTCTGTTCCGCCTTTGGAGAACAGGTTATCACCGAAAGATCATGCCAGCTCTGGTTTGCCCAATTCCGAGATGGTAATGAATCCCTTGAAGACGAATCGCATGGACATCGTGCCACAGCCATCGACAACAATGAATTGGAACAATTAATTGAAGCTGATCCAATGCAAACAACACGAGAACTTGCCAAACATCTCCAATGTGATCATTCAACAATTGTACGCCATTTGGAAATAATTGGAAAGACAAATCGTAATGGACAATGGGTTCCACATCAATTGAGTGTTGAGAATCTGGGAGCACGCGTTTCGATCAGCCATATCTTGCTCCATAAGTCGAAAAGAAGCCATTTTTTTGAGAATATCTTGACGATGGATGAGAAGTGGATTCACTTTGATAATACTTCTCGAAAAAGGCAATGGCTGAGCAAAGGTCAAGCGCCAATTCCAACTCCAAAGCCGGATTATCATGGGCGCAAAGTGATGTTGTCTTGCTGGTGGAATATCAATGGACTTGTTCATTTTGAATTATTAGAGCCCGGAAAAACAGTCGATTCATCTTATTTTATTCAACAACTCAAGAAGGTTGACGAAATTTTGCGTGAAAAAGACCTAAATCCCTCAACTATCAACTTTCTCCGTGATAATGCTCCAGCTCACACGGCAAAAACCTCTTGTAAGGAACTAGAGAAGCTAGGATGGAAGGTCTTACCACATGCGCCGTATAGTCCAGACTTAGCACCCTCCGATTTTCACCTTTTCAGATCGATGCAACATTCCCTTGAGAATTGCCAGTTTAAGAATGCAAAAGAAGTCGAAAATTGGGTGACCAACTACTTTGCATCACAGAATCAAGCGTTCTTTGAGAAGGGGATCCGCAATCTGTAGCAACGTTGGAGGGATGTCATAGATAATAATGGTGCTTATTGTTTTAAATAAATTGTTATCTAAAAAAATTTTGGATGACTTTAATGTTTGTAAAAAAACGAAATTTCATTTGCACCAACCTAGTATGACTAGTCCATAAGCTTGCCTAGATTCCTCGAAATCTCGCAAAGCGCTTATCAGAACCTATCGATATGGGGTCGGAAAATGTAGCTGACGATGAGATCTAGTGAGAGATTTGAGTGTTGAGCTTCTGAAAAAGCTTGGAAACCGTAAAATAGTCATCACCTCGGCGCGGTGCACCACTATTAGAGAGAATACGGTATAGAAAATGTTATCAATAGTCTTTCTAACTCAAAAGTCATACTTTTCAAAGCAATTTTCCATTATTTACTGAACGTGACTTACACGTGATTATACAACCGACGCACATAAAAGCGAATGCAATCGGATACCTGAATTGATTGAATTGATTGAGTTGATTGAATTGAATAAGTAAAATTCTAATCAATTACCATTTCACATAGCAAATATAGGCAAAATCTGCGCCCGAGATACGAATCGATGTCCCAAGTTCGACATAACAAAAAGAGCCGAGAATTGAGATGAAAGCCGCGAGAATCCAAATCAAGAGACACAAGCCAACCTGAATGATTAAAAAGACATTGTTAAACATTGTTAAACGTTGTTAAACATTGTTAAACGTTGTTAAACTGATTCTAAACTGTTAAACTGTCTGTTTTAAATCAGTTTAACAATGTTTAACAACGTTTAACAACATTTAACAATGTCTTTTTACTCACTGAATTGACTTGTTCTAGAATGGAGGTTGGAGTGATGAAGATACCGGATCCGACAATGTTTCCGATAATATAAGAAATCGCTCCAAGGAGACCCATCTTTTGGGATCTCGTTTGAGGCTCTTCGTCCACCATTTTCAACTAGAAATTTGTGTTTAGAAGAAATCGACAAACTTGCAACAAAACTTTGAAGGGAAATAAGGAAAGAAGAGAATTCTGAAGATCTCTGGGCATTTACTTACGCGCTTAAATTGCTGTAATTAAAAAAGTGGCTTGATAAAGTTATGTTCACATTTTTGGAGATATTTAGCAAACGATTTTTTGAAAATGAATGACATTTCTGAATGTATAGCTACAGTACTGGACAATGAAATATCATATTTGAAAAACGATCGTCACTTTCGCGCGTCTGTAACTCCATTGTCTTTGAGTTTAAACTATTAGTGTTATACAATTTCTGAAAGCTCTTTTCAAGGGCTACACAATGGTAATATTAATATTTAGAAATACGGTAAAGACAAGGGAGTTACAGAGGTACGAAAGTGCGAAAGTGTTTTTTCAAATATGATATTTCATTGTCCAGTAGTGGATCATTTCAAAAAGTTTCCTTCATAAATCGACGAAATTTCTGAATCAACAAGAGTTTTCAATTGAAATCTTTTGAAAATGAAAGTCGAGAGGCTGTAAATGAAAAGCGCAAATCTTTGTTGTCCAAAGAGAACATCGAACAATTCAATTTGTCAATATTGTTCAGAGAAATGATTGTGAATCAATATTTTGACAAAAATGAATGATTGAGGAATCTGGAATTGGAGAATTGGAGGATTGGAGAATTGGAGATTGGAGAATTGAAAAGGGTTTAAAGGAATGCAAAGAACGAATTTCCAAGTAGAGCAAGATCTCGAGCTTGCTTTCTTTTCCAGCTACTCTAAACCTTGAACTAAAGTAATTCCGTTGTCTAAATCCATTCCCGATCTCAACAAATGAATCCGAACCCGAAATGAACTTGATTCATGTAGTCAAATCAAATTCCCACCATAAAAAGTGGCGGCGTCACTTTTTGGGGATGGCTGGATGAATTTTAGGGAAATGGTGATAAAATTTTCCTTCCGATCGGGCCAACCGGCTCATTTTTCTTTTCTTTTGTTCTTTTTTTTGAGATTCAAAAGCTCTTTCAATCTCTTTCCCTCAAAATCAGTAGCCAACGCGCTTCAGCCGTCCGTCCTTATCGCATTGTTCTCTGCAAAGCTTTGTCGACAATTGGATTCAAGAAAAAAACCCTTTATTCCCGATTTTGGTTTACTTATTTAAAAGAACTATATAGAGCAAAATCAGTAAAGCAAACAGTGATATGGGATGAGGTTTGAGCTTTTTTGTTGGTGAAATATCTGAATGTCGAGACTGACAATGAGAACAGACTGACAATGAGATCAGACTGAGAATGAGATCAGACTGAGAATGAGATTAGACTGATAACTAAACTAGAATTACCTATTTTTAGTCAACTACATCATCTAAAAGATATTCAGTTCATAAAAATACTTACAAAAGCTATGAAGAGCTTTAGATTGAACAGTAAGAAATTGGTGAATGCTTTGAGTTGAATGCTTCAGAGACACGAGCACTTCTAAATACTTGTTTATTGGGGACTTGTACAAATATTGCTTTTCAGATTATTACCAGATCAGTCTAGTAAGGGAAAAGGAGAACGGTAGTGGGTAGAGAACAAACACTCTGTCAACTCACAGCAATGAAACTAAACCGGAACATAGAATAAGTTACAGTTGAGTTACAAGTTACAAGAAGTTAAACTTGAGATCTTTGATCTGATAGGGAAATATCTAGAATACAAAGAAGACTATAAAACTAATTCTGTATCTGCTGATCAGCTGAGGATTTACTAGAGAAAGAAGCCTTTTTCTAGCTTATAGAAAGCCAGCCAGGCTGTGAAAAGAATTGAAAAAGTTATCATTATCAAAGTTGAGAGTTCAAGCTTTACAGAAGCATAGAAAAGTTTTGCTGAAATCACAGTTCAAACGAATTGCTTGATTCCAAGCGATTCCATTGGTTTATCTCGACCTTTGCCCTGCCATTTCTTCCCGTTCCAAAGACTCATTATTCTTTTTTTTGCATCAAGTGATAAAGAACAAACGCTACTGAAAAAAGCTCTCCTCTGGCTTTAAAAATGATTTAAAAAGAACAAGCTTGATGATTCTTTTTGAATCTTGATCAAGCTACACTTAACAATGAACGCTAAAGATGCAAAAATTAGTTGATTATCGAATCTCATGAAAATCAAGGTCAAGTTGTGGAATAGCCAGACTTCAAAGTCTGGCTATTCCAGTCTGGCTATTCGTCTGGCTATTCCAGTCTGGCTATTCGTCTGGCTATTCCAGTCTGGCTATTCGTCTCCTGGATCTCCATCAAGAACCGTTTTCTGAAGGCTTAATGAAAAATTGGTCAAGACTTTACTATGTACAGGGTGACAAGAAATAACTATTCAAATAACTTGCTCTTTTCGAGCTCACAGTGAAGATAACAAAACCTTACACATATGAAAATACTCGTTGAAATCTTACAGTACCAGTCAAAAAAATGCCCTTTCTTTGGAGGTTTGCAAAATTTTGCATGCCACGTCTTTTTGCACGTCGTATAAGCATGTGCCATGAAGATTCTGGAAGCACTTTTTTAGCTCTACAAGATCCACTATAAGACTTTCAAGAATGCGAAAAGATTGAGACGATTTTCAATGGCTTAAATCAGAGGTAAAAATTTGTGTCCTTTTCAGAGGGATTTTTATCTATCAGATCGATTCGAATCGATTTTAAACTGTGTTTTTTGAAAAAAAGCGCAAAAAATTGGTCCTAAAACAGTGTTTTTCGGAATGCTTTGATGATTCTCATTAGACAAAAAACGCTGAAATGGAAATCCCTGCCTGAAGAAGGCTCTGAGATATTCGTTAGACGTCACCAAATTCGTTAGACGTTTCTCGGACTAGTTTTTCTGTGTCTTATTGAATATTAACCACATTGGAAAGCTTTAAAATCTCACAATTTTTGAGAAACATTGACTTAAATCAAGCCTACTCTAAGAGTTCAAAGGTTTGAAAGTTTAACTTACAAATTGCTTATTAAAATGTTTTGATTTGAAAATTTCTGAAAAAGTTTTGTTATCTTGAACTTTTTTCCGTGGAAAGAAGTAAAGGAAACGAATGTTTTAGAAATGAAAATCTATTCAAAAACATTACAATAGATATGTACAGTTATTTTCACCTTGTAGATCAAGAATTTGAGCACTATTTAGATACTGAAACCCGTGGACTATTCAGCAATTGCATCCAAATTTCAGATGATTGCAGTTACGTGGTTTCTCTTTCGGAATCTCTTTCTGAAATCGCTCCTTTTGTGGGATGAACGAGTGCAAATTTACTCAAGAATCGGCTGCATCTTTTGACCCATTCTTTCCCTTCATCTTCTTCCCCTTTCTCTTCCCATTCTTTCCCCTTCTCTTCCCCTTCTTCCCCTTTCTCTTCCTCTTTCTCTATTGCTCCCGAATACCGTATCCGATTACCCTCTTTTATCCTTTTTACCCTTTTCAAATACGAAGTAGATCAAGAAGACGGAGAAGATTTAAGCGGAATTGGCTTTGTGTGATGATCGAATGAAATTGAGATGAGCGAAGGGAAAGAGAGACAACTCACGCAACCCCATTCAACCATTTCGTCCTTTCTATAGCCACGCTTTCATTGGTCTTTTCCAAATCAGTTCAAATTCTTTTCAAAACTTCAAATATTTGATACCAGATTCGATGCTCCATTATGTTTTGTTGTTGTGTTCACTGGGAATCTTGTCGATTCACTCGCAAGATCTGAGTCAAGTCTTGTCCAGAGTCCCACCGGTGACAGTGAAAGCACAGGTTTATCAATCCAAATCCAACAATACCAATTGATCTTTATTCCAATTTTTAGAATACAATCATCTTGCCAGTTTCCTATGATATTCAGATTCAATTTCCACTTTCTGAGGTAAGATTGTCAGCAGTTGTCGACAGTTGTACCCTAAAGTCGCGAGTATAAGTTCTGTTTGGTTTTCGCATGCAAATTGACGGCTGTCTCCGGTGCGGTGTGTCGAGGGTTCGAACCCGGCTGCAGCATAACTTTTTTGCTTTTTAAGAACAATAATAGAAGTAAATTTATTGAGGGTTATAGCAATTTTATGCTGTTATTTGTTGCTCCGGGCGTGGCTCGGCGCGTCCGCCCTGCTCCTCTCCGGTGCTCAGTCTTATGGATCCCTCCCTGGCTTTAGAGTTCCTATTGAGTTCCTTTAGAGTTCCTTTAGAGTTCCTATTGAGTTCCTTTATAGTTTGTTTAGAGTTCCTTTAGAGTTCCTTTAGAGTTCCTTTAGAGTTCCTTTAGAGCCCTTTAAATGTAAATTAAGGCAGAACTTATACTCGAGACTTTAGGGTAGTTGTTGTATTGTGTGTATTGTGTGTGTGTTGACAGTTGTAAACAACTGAAACCTAAAAGTTGACAAATTTTTGTTAAGGTCAGTGATCCGGACACTCCCCTCTTCACCGCAAGAGTCGTCATACAATTTGACCTGACTGAAGAGCTCCGGGCAAATGCCGATCCGGAGAGTCACGTCCTGTCGACAAGGTTAAGATCAAGATTAAATACCCATAAAATTAAATGCCCATTTCCAGTGTCGACTTCTCGATTCTCGGCTTAGATCATTTCGAGAATGTTTCCGTTGTTTACAATGGACTCGAGCTACCATTAGCAAATGTGATTCTCACCGAAGACAATGTGAAAATGATATTTGATCAACCGGTGCTTTTTCCTGGAAGGTAAATGAAGTTGTAAATCTTTCAACGGTAAGATTTAGATACACTCTCAGCATTCAGCGGTACAAGGGCTTTATTGGATCAGCGTTGTACTACAGGTTTGAAGTTCGATTTCTTAGCTAAGTTGGAAAGCTAACGAACACCTATGTCTAGCTTCTATTGTTGACAGCAGCCTATAAATATTAACTTCCTTGACCTTTCTTCCTTTCTCTCCCCCCTTCTCTTTCCTCTTTCTCTGACAAGAAGATACTGGATGGATCAGTGGTTAGAAGATATTGGATAGCTCATCTACCTGGCTTAGCTGAATAGCTCGAGGGTTCAATTCTCTCTAAAGTCTTTCTTTGCCATTCCTTACTTTATTCTAATTATTCTTCTCTAGAGATGCTGGAGATCATGCAGTATTCGGTTCATCGTTATTCCCGAAAAGAGTCGCCGCTCTGTTCCCTGTTATTTCATCAATTGTCTCAAAAGTAAGAAACAAATAAATCTTAACTCTAGAACTAGAACTAGAACTAGAACTTAGCAAAGACCGGGATAATCTTTTCAGGTTCCAATCTCACTCACCATCGTGCATCCCAACAATATGACAGCGCTTTCATCGGCTCCCGTTGATGGCCCACCAGCGAGCGTTGATGAGAATTGGATGGTTGGTTTCATTTGTAGATATTGGAAATGTATGCCAATAAACATAGCTTACAATTAGTTGTACTTAAGCGCTGACTGGCGCTGACTGGCGCTGACTGGCGCTGACTGGCGCTGACTGGCGCTGACTGGCGCTGACTGGCGCTGACTGGCGCTGACTAGCGCTGACTGGCGCTGGCTGGCGCTGACTGGCGCTGACTGGCGCTGGCTGGCGCTGGCTGGCGCTGGCTGGCGCTGGCTGGCGCTGGCTGGCGCTGGCTGGCGCTGACTGGCGCTGGCTGGCGCTGGCTGGCGCTGGCTGGCTAAGCGCTGGCTACGGTGTCAGGCTGAACTGGCTATCCTATTCTGGCTGGCTATTGTATCTAGTTGGCTACAGTATCCCATTTGACCACCGTACCCGTAAGCTGACCTCTTATCGTACCCTATTTGGCTATTTATCCATTTTTTTAGGTGACCAGCTTCCGTCCAACAGCTCCAATCGGACCCGGCTCTCTAGCAATAGCCCTTCTACCAATGGAGTACGATGTGGTAAGAATAACTGCAAAGACTTTAAAATAATAAAGCTTTAGCAAGCCAATACACTAACCGGTATCCTCCTCTCACTTCACTACAACAAATATCGAATGACTGAAAAGCAGGCGCTCGGCGCTCTCTCACACGCCACAAAAGTGGTCGCATTGTTAAGGTTTTCAGAATTTTCAGAATTAGTTTCTTCAACCTAGAATCTCTAGATCATTTTTCTCCTCGGCTGTCCCGATGGCGCAACTCGATATCGTTGTCATCAACGATGTGATTCAATCAAACAGCTATGGTGGGTTAAATTGATCAGCAATAAGGTTCAAAGTCTAGCCTTCACAGCCTTTAAATCCCAGTCAAAATTCCAGGTACAATAATCATTCCCGAAGACGTAGTTCTTGGCTCTGATACAGCAAATTTGATCTACATATTGGCCGGTCAGATCACGAGACAATGGCTCGGTGGAATTGTGACTGTTTCGAATGAGAAAGAGATTTGTTTACAAGTAAAAAAACCAGTTTATGTTTAGATTATAATCAAAAAAACCTCAGGAAGATCTTGCCGAGTATGTGGCGCTGAAAGTCGTGAAGAGGATGACGAACGATGAAGGTCTACGCTTAGCTCTTTATGCAAAAGTGATGATGAATGAGGATTTCTTCGAGAATGGACACAATTTGGAGTTGGATGAAGTGACGGATCGAGAAGTGATTCAAAGGAAAACTCTTTTTCACTTTTAAGAACATTCAGATAACGTCAATTTGTGGGTTGAAAGGCGTGCTTTTTCTTGAATCGATTGAGTCGATAATTGGAGAAAGAGATCTTCTACAACACGTCAATGCTTTAATATTTACCACAAAAGATGCGCATTTCAAGTAAACAATTACTTAAAACAATTACAATTGAATTAAAAACAAAACAAACAAAAAGAAATTCCAGTCTAAACTCGTTTATGAAACAAATCTCTTCTCGCATCGATGAGGATGTCGATTTGGCTCAAGTAAGTTACTTTCTTTACTTTCTAGATTCTTTCTTTCATTCTAGGTTTATGCTTTCTGGTTTCGCAGTCGTGGAGTACCACATTTGATGGTGAAAAGGGTAAATTACAATAAATTACAATAATATTGGGTTGGTGAATTGAAAACTGCAGGACTTGAACTCACACTGGTTGAACTTTGAACTAAAATTTCTTCAACATAAAACAATGAATTCATTCCAAATAATTTCCATTATTATTGACGACTTCTGCCCATTTTACAGGCAATTTGCGGTTTCCTCTTTCGTAGTAGGATTTTGTTTTGTGTATGAGACAAGTGTGAGACTCAAAAATCGAGGACTGGAGATGTCCCAGTTTGAGCACTTTCTTCAAAAGAAACCCATTTTGGTGTCAATAGAAAAGTTGTAGAGAATCAAAAATTAGGCTTATAGCCAAATTTCCGAAAAGATACACTTAGTAGTTTCGCTTAAAATACAAGTTTTGTGAAAATTCGTAAATTTGGCATTTCTTGAAAATCAGTTTTTGAATCGTTCTGAAAATTTGGATATAAGCTTCATTTTCGATTCTCTACAACTTTTCCATTGACACCAGAATGGGTTTCTTTTGAAGAAAGTGTTCAAACTGTCACATATGAAAATACCCGTCAGTTTTCAATTCACCATTCCAATAGATTGAGATTAGCCTTGATTGAAGATAAGTCAATGTCCAATTTGAGGATTCGGAGCGGGCCAGATTAGTTCAAGCAAAGGCAGAGGGAAGGCACTTATGTAAAAGCCCTGCGCCAGACGACGAGCGATTACGCAGCCGCACAAAGAACATACAGAACACAGATTTTAAGCGAAACTACTAATGCATCTTTTTGGAAATTGGGATATAAGCTTCATTTTTTATTCTCTACAACTTTTCCAGTGACAGTCCTCAAACTGTCAATGGAAAACTTGTGACAGTTTGAGGACTGTCAATGGAAAAGTTGTAGAGAATCAAAAATTAAGTTTATATCCAAACATTGACATTGACACCAAAATGGGTTTCTTTTGAAGAAAGTGCTCAAACTGTCACATCCGGCAATAGCCAGCAGTTTTCAATTCACCAACCCAATATAATTACAATAAAATGTTTTCCTTTTTAAAGGTTCGCGATTCTCTTCAACTCACTCAAATCACCAATCGAACTATGGAAATTGATGGGGTACAAGCAGGTAAATGAGTTTGAAAATAATCTTTTCAGTCTACTAGATTCATCCAATGATAAAGGATGGATTTCAAAAGGATTTCAAAATGATTCCCTTTCTCTTAAATCAACTTATCAACGTTCAGCGATGACCATTTGGCCTCTTATACTCGATTTCTCCGATTTCCAATTACCTCTTCATTTCATGCTTTCACAGGGAATTCATCTAGCTCCAGTTCGCGATTCGCTTTCTCTATCAAATTTAGGTAAGTCAAGAAATTCATTGGTTCATTGGTGAGAACTTTTTTTTAGGTTTCCGACATTTTTATCGAGTCAATTATGATGTGGACACGTGGAGACAGGTAGGAAATAAGAAAAAAATAGGAAATAAAAAGATAAGAAAATGTTTTAGGTGAAAGATGCCCTTTTCCACAACACTTCAATGTACGCGAGAAGAGAAAGAGCTCAATTGGTTTCCGATTTTTGCTTTTTCTATCAGAAAGGTAAATTAATTTTTTGTAATTGAAGGAATGAGTTTTGAAGGAATTGAAGGAAAACTCTGAAGTTTGATTAAGGCGAAATCGAAGACGAGGTGAAAGCAGAAAAGCTGAGAGCCGAATTTATTCAAATGGTTCGATTGAAATCGAGTGATTTTGAGTTATGCGAGCTGGTTGCTTGGGGATGTGGAGCTGGATCGATCAAGAGGGTTCGTTTCGATGTGAGAAGCAAGAGCAACAAGAGTAACAAGAGCAACAAGAGCAACAAGAGTAACAAGAGCAACAAGAGCAACAAGAGTAACAAGAGCAACAAGGGCAACAAGAGTAACAAGAGCAACAAGGGCAACAAGAGTAACAAGAGCAACAAGGGCAACAAGAGTAACAAGAGCAACAAGGGCAACAAGAGTAACAAGAGCAACAAGGGCAACAAGAGTAACAAGAGCAACAAGGGCAACAAGAGTAACAAGAGCAACAAGGGCAACAAGAGTAACAAGAGCAACAAGGACAACAAGAGCAACAACAGAAACAACAGAAACAACACAAATCTCCCTTCTCACAGCCAAACAAAGCTCTAACAGAACTTACAGATTGACGATTCATACATAGATTCATTCACAATTGAGAATCTGATATCGATTAGCCACACTATCAAGCTCTCGTTTCAGTATTGCAAGTTTTCAACAATATTAACCACTAGATAATACAGATATATCAGATACAAATCAATCAATCAGATACAAATCAAAACAAAAATCAAGTCCATAACAAGTTCATCATTCTTAAACACTTCCAGAAAGCTCCACGTGATGTTTTGCTGAAGTTGAGACGTCAATTGTGGGATGCGATGAGGAATGAGATTGATTTCAGTTGTGGAAGAGGAGCTGTGCACAGTGTGGCTGATTTGTTGTGTCGAGAGACAACTGGGAGTGGCTGTTTGTAGAAAAATCGTTTTTTTTTTGTTATCAAGCTTTTGAAATTTCGCATATTTCTAAGAATCTCTACGATTTCCATTCTTGATATCATTGTTTTCTTTCGTTTCCAGTCAGTATTTTCCTCGAACTAGTCTTTCCAAAGAGTCGGTGCTATATTTTGCTTTATGTGAACAACTCTTCTATTCATACAGTATTCGCAATAAAAAAAGAGAATGATTTGAAAAAGAAAATGAAATAAAAGAGTAGTGTAAGAAATATATGTTTATGTTTTGATCTATATAATTTCTTGTGAGACCGTGTCTCGGTGTGGTTCAATAGTGGTCGTCTTGAAAGCGCACAATTTATCAAACTTTCCCTTATTAGGGCAAACTTCGCTCAAACTGGAGCAACCTGGCACTATCACAATTAATTCAAAAAAAAAAAAAAAAAAAAAAAAAAAAAAAAAAAAAAAAAAAAAAAAAAAAAAAAAAAAAAAAAAAAAAAAAAAAAAAAAAAAAAAAAAAAAAAAAAAAAAAAAAAAAAAAAAAAAAAAAAAAAAAAAAAAAAAAAAACGAAATCTATATAAAACAAAATTTTCCATATTTTATAGTATTTTGAAGCTGAAATTTTGATGAAAATTTCTATAAGGAAATGACTTCGATTAAAATTAATTCGATTAACTTCGATTAATTTCCAATCCAATCTTTTCAAAAAGTCACTGCATTCAAGGCAAACCGCCCAGTTTCAGAGACAACATACAGTTTCAAATCTTTTAACAAACAAGTTTTTAAAGATTATTTTATGTTTTTATTTTAAAGAATGATTTTATTCTTTTAAAATAACAATTGAACTGGAGGGAAACTGTCATGGTAAAAAATGGTAAACCTATTTGAATAGGTTTTCAAGTCAGTCATGATGATCACCTATTTGAATATGTATTCAATTGAAAAATTCTTCAAAAAGCATTTTAAAGTTTGTTTTAAGTGAACAAACTCTAGCGCATTACAATGTTTTTTTGATTTTGATCAATTTTCAATAACAATTGAACTGTTTACTTAAAACAAATTTTAAAAGGCTTTTTGAAGGATTTTTCAATTGAAAACATATTCAAATAGGTGAGCACCATGACTGAATTGAAAACATATTCATATTCACCATGACATGACATGAAAACATATTCACCATGACAATTTCCTTCCAGCGCATTACAATGTTTTCTTTTGAGAGCTAAGTGGGTTTGATTAGGATGGTTTAGGTGTAGAGAACCTTAGACAATTATGCTCTCCAGTATCTTTGATATTACGAATGCTAGTTTGTGAAATTTGAAGGACCGACCAGATTTTCAGGGAAAGCCTTTTTTCTGCTAATTTTAATGCTAATTTTAATATGCAAACTTTGCAGAAATGTGCAGAGATTCTAGGAAGTGATGGTAAAAATGATCCTAATAAGTAAAGAAAAGAAAAAAAGGTAGAACTTCGTGAAAAAGCAGAGAGGAATGGAAATTGATCAAAAAAAAACATTGATCGAGTCGTTTTTTGAATTGAAAGGCAGGAAAAGTAAAGAACTCGAGTAAAGAAACCTTTGAGGCTGTTGGGGCCTGTTCTTTGAGCTGCTCTTGCACCAGTTTATCCCAGTTTATGAATAAAGTTTATCAAGTCTAACATAATTAAAGATTTATCTCACCTAATGATCTCCGTACTTTACGAAGCTCTCAGCTTGTCCATCTCACAAATTACCCGATCACCGATCCTAATTTGTAGTTGGTGTGTCAGGGAAAGTCTCAAATAAGCTTCTCCCCCAAACATTGACTTCTTTCGTATTAAACGGCGAGTCTTTCAGTGATTCGTTTCCATGACTACCGTATGTTCTTCTTCCCCTTCCCCTCCATCTTCCCCTTCCCCTCCTCTTTCCCCTTGTCAAGCTGCCATCTCCCACTCGAGTCCATTTCGACACCCTCTCCTTCCTCTTCTTCACCCTTTTAAGGTCTTTCTTTCTTTTTCGTCTGTTTCTTTTTTTTTTGTCCTAATCGCTGAAAACGCTTAAGAACATTTAGGTAAGCGTTTGTTGAGTTAGTAGCTCGAGATCATGACTTCATCAAACTGATCATGCTGAAACTAAAGAGAACATCTCTAATTTAGTTCTCTGGACATTGTTAGACCTCCAACAAGGTTTAGATCTCAATAGGTATTTAATATATTGATTCAAAGTCTCATTACAGTAGAATTTCGAAGGTGAATACAGCTAAAGGTTAAAGGCAACAGTTAGACAGAAAAAACTCTTGTTTTCTATTTGCTAGTTTAAAAGCCAACTTTAAGATTGGGTAAAGAGATTGTTAAACATAGTTTTTAACTAGATTTCAATGTGCTAAATGTATATGTTAAGTCCGGATCAGATCCAGACGTCTGAATCTGATCCGGACATCTGAATCTGATCCGGATGTCTGAATCTGATCCGGACGTCTGAATCTGATCCGGACATCTGAATCAGATCCGGACGTCTGAATCTGATCTGATCCGGACGTCCGAATCTGATCCAGACGTCTGAATCTGATCTGGACCTCTGAATCTGATCCGGACATCTGAATCTGATCCGGACATCTGAATCCGATCAGAATGAGTGTGGTCGGATTCGGACGTAACATATATATTCTCTACAAAAACCTTTAATTCTATCAAGTTGAAATGGGGAGAAGCCCCAAGAGAAATCTATCGGTAAAACCACGCCCATTTTCCCTCTCTCTCGAGAGAGTGATTCTACTGTGTGACAAACGACACTCAATTGATTGAATACTTGTTTGTTTTTTTTGAGATTTGAAATGAATAACTGTACTTATCCGGTAGTTACATGCTATCAGCTGTAAAGCTATACTGTAAAGTACCATGTACTGTAAAGATGTAAGCCCTATTCTAGACTATCCAGTCTGTTTCGTGTTATAACGCAAGATTAAAGTCTTTTTTTCTCACCTGCTTAGATCTAATAAGATTAGAAGAACTAAGAAGCAATAACTTCTTAAATACATCTTAAGTAAATACAATCTTTCTAGCGATTTCACCCCATTCACCCAAGATCCAAAGATTCCATCGGAAAGCAATCAAGTGTCTCTCTTCTCTCTTTTTTTTCAACCATTCCCCATTCCATTCCCCTTCTTTCCATTCCCTTCTTTTATATATGTTCCACACATCGATTACTATGGAAGCTTTTAAGGGATTTGAAGAAAAGAGTGAAAGGGAAAGGGCCCTTCTAAAGGTGAGGCAAAGAATTATGACCGCTCAACACCTTTTAAGACACTTTTTGCCACCTTTTAGACCTCAATGAGTCATCATACTCGTTTTTAACCCTTTTCGGTATCTGATGGTCATTTTATATTCCTTATTGTTAGCTATTGCTTTCAAAACTTTGTTCTTTTGCTCATTCCTTTGAAATCAAACTTTAATTGCAACTTTTTGCACTGGCAATCTTATGGAAAGCTAATAGCTAGAGAAATAACTAGAGAAATGACGAGTTATCTTGTGTACTAAAGATTGACAGGCTATAACTAGTTATCTTATGGCCATAACTGGTTAGATGCAACTGCTATAACTATAAACTATAACTGTAACTAGTGCTATAACTAGTTATCTTGGGTATGAAAGATTGAGAGGCTATAACTAGTTATCCTATGGTCATAACTGGTTAGATGCAACTGCTATAACTATAACTATAACTGTAGCTAGTGCTATAACTAGTTATCTTATGTACTAAAGATTGACGGGTGACTTAAAGGTATCAAAACTGCAATACTAAACATAGAAAGTATATAAAGCTTTAGAGCTATCAGTACATAGATCTTTAGTACTGAAGTGCCAATACTGAAGTACCAGTTAGATCTAGCTTATGAACAGACCAGTTAGACCAGCAGACCAGTTAGATCTAGCTTATGAGCTTATGAACAGTGCACGTGTTAGTGCACGGGTTTATTGCTTTACTTAACTCTCTCAAAACTATATGCCTATACAATCAGCTAACATTAGAAAGTTCTGAAGTGAAATCTTCGTGTGCGTATTCATTTTCTCAAATTTCTGTGTCCATAGGAGTCCCCATGGTTGATGGAGATTCCTATGGATATCTCTTAGAGTGAAGAAAAGTGAGGAAAACGCAGAAAACGAAGAGACGAAAGGGGAGAATCCTATCAACGCTCCCAGGTGATGAAGGTGCATACAGGAGGGAATTCACAAGAAGGACCACAAAGTGGACAACCAACTGCAGCACATCATCATCAACATAAGACTATCTCGAAGAGGAAGAATCCTCAACATGGACAGGACATCAATGGAGTTATCAATGGGGCACAGGTTGGTGCGACAGAGTTGGGTAGTAGCTAGAGGCAGACCAAGCTAGATCTCCTAGAGCTCTTAGATCTCCTAGAGCTCTTAGATCTCCTAGAGCTCTTAGATCTCCTAGAGCTCTTAGATCTCCTAGAGCTCTTAGATCTCCTAGAGCTCTTAGATCTCCTAGAGCTCTTAGATCTCCTAGAGCTCTTAGATCTCCTAGAGCTCTTAGATCTCCTAGAGCTCTTAGATCTCCTAGAGCTCTTAGATCTCCTAGAGCTCTTAGATCTCCTAGAGCTCTTAGATCTCCTAGAGCTCTTAGATCTCCTAGAGCTCTTAGATCTCCTAGAGCTCTTAGATCTCCTAGAGCTCTTAGATCTCCTAGAGCTCTTAGATCTCCTAGAGCTCTTAGATCTCCTAGAGCTCTTAGATCTCCTAGAGCTCTTAGATCTCCTAGAGCTCTTAGATCTCCTAGAGCTCTTAGATCTCCTAGAGCTCTTAGATCTCCTAGAGCTCTTAGATCTCCTAGAGCTCTTAGATCTCCTAGAGCTCTTAGATCTCCTAGAGCTCTTAGATCTCCTAGAGCTCTTAGATCTCCTAGAGCTCTTAAATCTCCTAGAGCTCTTAGATCTCCTAGAGCTCTTAAATCTCCTAGAGCTCTTAAATCTCCTAGAGCTCTTAAATCTCCTAGAGCTCTTAAATCTCCTAGAGCTCTTAAATCTGCTAAGTCTAGTACTAGCTCTAAATTGGCTACTTTTTAGTCTCAGATCGTATCAAACTAAAATTAGACAATATTCTATTAACACTAGAGTGTGGTTAACCATTAACCCTTCAATATTCCCAATGATTTTTAGATCCACCGCCAAAGCGTTCTCGTCGCCGTGCCAAAAGACGAGCCCCAACTCACTCGATTGCATTCAAATAATGCAGTGAGTAGTTAGATTTACTTTAAATAATCTCTATTTTTCTCTATTTTAACCAACCATTCTTCTCATTTCAGCTTTCATCCCATTCCACCGAGGATCATATTGAATTGACGGTTGCTGCAGTGGCTGCAGGAACTGTTGGTGGGAATCCGCATCATGAAGAGACGCATGTCGGAGTGGTGAGCTAAAAATTTAAATATAAGCCATCTAAGCAAGTTAAAGATGAAAGAAAATTGAATTTAGAAATACGTGATTGTCAACAATAAAGATGGGGAAGAGTTGAAAGGTTCGTTTGATTTTTTTGCGTTCGCTTTTTGCTTTCTGTATCAAGTTGCACTTGAGTTAGTATCATTTTTTAGTTTTCCTTTGACTTACGTCTTTCTGTCTTTGACAAATACGAATCCCATTTCCCTAAAGCCACTGTCATTTCACCGCTTTGACGAGTCCTCTTCACCCAAAGAAAGACCCCAAAAAGCATACCGTATTTCTCAGCAAAGAGTAACAAGAGGCAAGAGGCAAGGCAAGAGGCAAAGCAAGAGAAAAAAGCTGGATTCATCCCTAAAATCCCTTAAACGAATCCCCATATTAATGGGAGAATCGAGAATCGAAAGGTTGGTAGGGGAGACTCCCAGGGAGACCCGATTTGTGTGGAGAACACTTCTACATTTCCATAGAGGCTATTCTCTCGATGTCTTGTGATCCACCAAATTCAGAGCTCTTTTTATTGAGCGTACCCTCGATGGATTTCTATAGTAGTCAATCGCTATTTACGTCGATTCCGAGATTGTACGCGCAACATACAATGTTGAGAAGTGGACAAGAGGGAATTGCGGCAAGAAGTAAATGTTTGAGTTTTTTTGAGTTAAATGATTGATTTTGCTTTTCAACCATAGTCTGTAAAGGCTAAAGAAAGTTCTTCTTAGCCAATGTTTTCTAAAAAACATCTAAAACCGTACTCAACTAGTCATTAGCCAAATCATTAGCCAATTCCTCATGTCATTAGCCAATTACTCAACTAGTCATTAGCCAAATCTTATCATCATCTGAGCCTTACGCTTCTCATCGAATGATATCAAAGTTTGGCTAATCAAATGAACAGATTACGGTAACTTTCGAAAAGAGATACCTTCTGGAAAAGAGTCTAGTAATGTCTAATGCAAAGATCTGTGACCAAGAACTTTCTGGACAATGACAGACAGTGACAATTCCTAGACAATCTTATAAACTTCTCAATCGACAATCTTGGGATACTTCTAATTCCAAATCCATCCAAATATCCATTCCTTTCTACTTCTGTCTTTTCAAATACCCACAAATTTCTCTACAAGCATTTCCCACTTTCAAATCTAATCAATTCTAAAGACAATACCCGCAAGAATAGGGAGTTTGCATAGAAAAGTGGCTACGAGAAGACAAAAGCTCTTGAAAGCACCGTATTGTTGGGCTTGTGAATTCCCGATTAGGTCCATCCCTTTAAGTCTCAGTCGATTGATCGTCAAGACTTATTTTCAAAGCCTAATAGCCTTATTCGACTATCCAAATGTTCCCCCGATCTGCTCTTTTCGAGTATGGTGCTGTAATGCGCGATGTTGCCGCGGCTGCCTCCGTAAACAGAAATCGGCTTGCGATTTGTGGGTGATCCCTGGCTTTTGGTTACTTCAACAACTACAGAACTTGACACATACTTGAACAATAGCTGACACAAAAGTTGACCAATCCAATTTAGGTGTCGAAGAGGGCTCAAATCTGTTAGAGAATAATGGACAGGCTCTCGCTTATCCATCAGCACCCTATGTTGGATCAACGGAGTTCAATGCAATGGACGCCTATCCACTCACTCAACATCTACACAATCCAGCGTGAGATTATTGGATATTGTGATAAATATTGTGCTTCTTGTGGTTGTGAGTTCACTTGTTAGATCTTATTGTTTGTTGTTTGAATGGCCAAAGATATGGGACAAGCTGGCAACCTTAACAATTCCTGTACAGAGCCTTAACAATCACAGAGCTCCAGTGCAGAGCCTATGATAATAATATTGATAATAATACTACGATACTCTAGATGGCTCTAGTTACGAAGTTTCTAATCTATTGTAAGAACTAGTTCCTGTACAGTACAGTGTACAGTACAGTGAAGTGTTCTGTACAGTACAGTGCACAGTACAGTGCACAGTACAGTGCACAGTACAGTGCACAGTACAGTGCACAGTACAGTGCACAGTACAGTGCACAGTACAGTGCACAGTACAGTGAAGTGTTCCTGTACAGTGTAGTGTAGTGTACAGTAGTTAGTTTACGATCCAGATCCAGATCCAAATCTGGATCTAGACTCTAATTTAATAGACAAGAAAGACAGGAAACAAAACAAAGAAGTAAAATCCCAAAAAATGCCAATACAAGTATGTTGGGGACAAGTTGTCAAGGGGGATTTCGGAGTGGAGGAGGAGGTCGGTCGTCCAGCCAACCAGTCAAGGAGCAGTACATGGACGGTGGATTGGGGTGGATAGAAGCACTCACCTCTTCCCCCATCCATTGCCATTCCTCCTCTCCCCCAAAAAGGTCTCCTAGGCGATTCTTGCTTGTGTAGGTGATTCTCCATCTTTCCAATCCCCTTTACTTACTTCTTAGGCTCTCCTTAGCATCCACTCCTTTTCCTTTCCTTAGAAACAGAACATAAAATGAATTTGGTGAGGTTTTAGCGAGGGTTTCAAGAGAGAATGGGAGAGAATGGTGTTAGAATGAAGATAGAAATGATAAATAGAAATAAGAAATGGTTATCCTGAATAAAAAATCTATTAATCTAGCTGTATGAAAGAAAAGATTCTAAAATTTTTGAGAAGATCTGTGGAGATCTTGAGAAGATCTCCATGGAATTCCTCCTTCATTCACCCCTTCACAAAATGGTCTCTATGAGTGATTGTCGGTTGTCCGGGATAACCACATCTCTCTACCAGATATATACAGGAGATCTCTCTTGCAATCAAAAAAAATAAAGAGAGAAAAGAAACTGGGGGACTCCTTGGGAACCGGAGATTCTATGTAAAGGCAAAGGGGAGCTATAAATCGGACTCTCCGACAACCGTTTCCATATGAGCGATCACCAAGGCGATCTCCATTTCTATCCATCTCCCCACCTCACCTACCTCACAAAACCAGTCCCGAAAACCATAGACACGTACTCGAATTACCATTTTATCATTTGATACTGGTTCTGGATCGATTTTCAGCTCTAGTTTGATTGATTGATCTTCATCTCTAGCTTTGATCGATTGATCTTCAGCTCTGGCTTGATCTTCAGCTCTCTGGTTCAACTTAGTGATCTATTTCTTCATTAACTGTTTCTTTTTTGTCCTATAGAATATCATTTTGAGTACAGGTACTTTGGTAGACAAGTTCAGAAGTTACTTTATGTGTTCAGAAGTTCAGAAGTTACCACTAGATAAACCACTAGGTTCACTGGGTCCACTAGGTCCACTAGGCCCACTAGATCCACTAGATAAACCACTAGGTCCACTAGGTCCACTAGGTCCACTAGGTTCACTGGGTCCACTAGGTCCACTGGGTCCACTAGATAAACCACTAGGATCCACTAGGTCCACTAGGTCCACTAGATAAACCACTAGGATCCACTAGAGCCACTCTGACAAGCAACAAACTAGCTTGAGTTCCAATTTCAGAAATAACCAAGTGCTTTAGTTTATGGATCTTTGACATCTCATTGTTACATGAACTCATCGTTTTCGGGATTTCAGGCTCAGTTAACTAATGATTCAACTTTACATCTAACTCGACTGATCATCTGATCCATCTGATCCACTAGATTTCTCAATATCACGATTTTTTTAAAAATTTATTCTCCAACTTCAAGACTCTCCATTCAATTACCAAAGTGAATGTCTCTAATGGCCAAGAAATCTGGACCGAGATTTCCAGGCGATTAGCCGAGAATTACGTTCACCGTTCACCTGGTTCTCTGCCTATATGCAAGGAGGTTATACGGGCAAAATATAGAGAAGAAATCCAAGGGGACTATGAGGCAGCTGGGGGAAGAACATTCACTGAATATCTTCCCCTCTCTTTCACTCTCTTTGAGTCTCTTTCCTACAGTAGCCTCTCTCTTCCGCGGCCTCTTCCTCGGCCTCTTCCTCGGTCTCTTCCTCAGTCTCTTTTCCCCTCTCTTTCAGCGAGGGCCAATTAGCCGATTTCAGCCTCTTTTCCCGTCCCTTTGACTGAATATCTTTTGATTCTTTTATAATTTTGAGAGAAATACGGTCCCCCGGCTTCCATTTATTAATCAAGGCCTCGGAAATCGATTTTCGCTTTCGGAAAACTTTTTCAGACAAACAACAATTGTACGAATATTGAAATATCGAGGGACTTATCGAAAATAAACTTTTTAGAAGTTGAATTTTTAAAAGAAATCTTCTTAATCTCCTGTTTTACTACAGTATACTGAAAGAAAAGTATAGGAAAGGAAAGCTTACCACTAGATAAACCACTAGGTCCACTAGGTCCACTAGATAAACCACTAGGTCCACTAGGTCCACTAGATCCACTAGGTCCACTATAGCCACTCTGACAAGCAACAAGCTAGCTTGAGTTCCAATTTCTGTTGGTAAAGAGTTTTAAAGCTGTCAATTGAATACTTTAATACTACTAGCAAGTCTACAGGGTGTCTCAAAATTATCTTAACTATTATTGCTTGTTTTTTTCTCTCTCATTGCCTCAATTGAAATCATTTTTGTATGAATCGACAGAAGAAGAAATGAAGAGACTAATGAAGACTAATAAATAAACCTAATAAATAAATAAGAGACTAATAAATAAACCAAAACTATTTCAATCGGGCAACTCAACGTCAAGATATTTGACGTTTAAAGCCAAAAAAAAGCTGTTGATGACTTTCTGAAACGATCAAATAAGACCAAAAGTTCAATTGAGGCCAGCATAAACTCTTTAAAACATAAACTTTATTAATTGATTGCTTCGGTAATAAGTTTATTGGTTTATTTAAATTTTAATGTACAAAATGATTGCCTCAAAATTCTTGTCGCAATATTTTGAGACACTCTGTAAGAATTATGTTGAAAATAAGGCTTGAGATCTTCTGAAACTGAACACATAATTGGCAAAACTATAGCAAAACTATAAACCGAGAACTTCTCGCTTTTAATGTCAATCCATTAATGCTTTCAGCAATAATTGTAGCTTGATTTTGTGAGAGAAAAGTGAGTAAGATGGTACGGAACCAGGTGCACGGGAAGCGCTTATGATGGGTAAAAGGGAAAGGAAAGATGGAAAATCGGATGGAAAGAAAATAATGCGTGAATGAGGATGGGTGAGTGACCTTTTGAGATCTACAACTCTACAATAGTTTGGAAAAATCAAGATAACAGTAAACATTGTTGGCTTATCTCAGCTTGTAAGAGCTTCCCAGCTTCGGAACTGAGCCTTCAAGACTCAGACTCGGAGTTCAAGAGCCTTTAAGACTTCAGTAACTCATAGCTTTTGTAGTAAACCATTTTGGAATTCTGGAAAATTGTTCCAGAATTGTAGAATGTCTTTGTCCATGATTTGAAACATGCAAACCCAGTGATGTCAAGCAAAGCAAAGCTTACCACAGTTCAACTCCAGAGTTCAACTCCAGAGTTCAACTCCAGAGTTCAACTCCAGAGTTCAACTCCAGAGTCAAACTCCAGAGTGCAACTCCAACCACCTCCCAGTCCCTCAACGATCTTCATCCAATGTCCCACTACCCTCCTTTCTCCTTCAATACATATACAGGAGCTGTCCCAATATGCAAAGAGAGAGCATCTGTCATCGCCTCCTTTCCCCTTCCTCTTCTTATCCACTCCATCCCTTCCCCCATCTCTTCCTTCATCCTTTCCCTCATCTCTTCCCTCATCCTCACCTTTGACCATTCAAGCACTTCATTCACTGTTACTGTAATATTTTGTGCTTTGAAATGCTTCGTGAGATCACTGTCATGACAAACGATCTCCTAGTTGTCGATGATTTTAGTGGCGCCAACTATGTCTACACCGATCCGAGCTATCAGAATTACTACACACAGGTGAATTTTAGAACTAGATCTTTAGAAGCTCAGCTTCAATTTGTTTGTTTACGCAAACAAACCGCATTCCATTTGCAGTACCAGCCGGCACAAGTGCATTCACCGCAATCCTATCCTCTTCATCCATCACAACATTCAGCCACATCACCAGGTAAACTTTTACCGTATTCGATTATATTAATTCGATTATAATTCTTTCAAGTAGCTTTTTTTTTTCTTTAAAAGCTTAATTCTAGCTCTCTCCGGGAGTATCGATGACTCGGATGGACAATTGGGACACGCGGCTCGAGCAAGTCCACAAACGGTTAGAGATATGATCTGTAATTTCTATAAATACAAATTAATCAATTTATTATAATCATTTATTTGATATCTTACTATCTGTAATGCCTATAAATACAAATTAATTCAGAAATTAGTTGTAAGCAAATTGTAAGCAAATTGTAAGCTAATTTTCAGTATGCAAATTTACCAAAAGTCGTTTCTCGAATGAAAGCCAATCCTCAAAATATAAGACTTCATCAAAGCAACCTATTCTTTTAAACTCTTTTCATCTTTCCACAAGAATTCATTCACAAACTCATAGCCAGGTTAATAGTCTATGAAAGCGACAATGACTATGGGTCAAAGGTAGAAAAAAAGGATGAATCCAGCCACCTGTTGGTCTCATCCTAGAGTTCAATCAACCCATATTCCCCCTTTTTCTTCAACAAAATCAAAGCCTGACCGCTTCGGGAAATTTTTGAGTCATATTCGCCAATTATTATGGCTTAATGGAGAAAAAGATTGGTTTACAATAAGAGATCTAACAGCTTGATCTAATAAGATCAATACTTAATTGAAGCTATCATAAAGAATTGATTGAATACTTGATTCTGAGCTTACTTTGACAGCTATCCAGTAAAATCCAGTATTCAGTAAAATCCTAAATCCAGTATCCAATAAAATCCTAAATCCAGTAACAGTTCAATCTTTATCCATATACGAATCAAATTCAGCTCATCAACATGAGTCAAATCAATGAACAAGGAAGAGTACTGTAGCTGGGTACTGTAGCTTATTAGGATTGAATTTATTTTTGGTAACTAAACAATAAATTCCCAACAGACACCTACCACATCGTCTTTTATTATTTCAAAAGCATTCAAATGCAAATTTATTTTGGTGGAATGAGCGGTGAAATGAGGTGGAATGGAGTGTGGAGAGGGGTGGAATTTGTGATGAGATCTGGTTCAGAGATCCAATCGGAGAATGGGAATTCCTTTTGTGGTTCGTTTACCGATAAGAATTATAATGATTAAGAAACGAAGTGAAAGACTCAAGCTACGGCTAAATGAGTTAACTTTCTAATTCAACAACTCCTCAATTCACCTATGATATTAAGCAAAAAGCCTTTTCGTTTCTTTTCCTACCAATTGGACATCCAAATAAAGCCTTCTCAATCCTTTCGCCAGTCATCTTTCACACCTGTTCCCCCTAAAATTCCCCAATTTTTTTCCTTGGTTTATGAATAGCGATTAGTCAATTTTCTGTCATCTTTGAAAGACAATAATTCAAGAAAAAAAACATATGTTTCTTCATTGTCTCTTCGAGATCTTTCTCTTTCTCTTTCTCTTTCTCTTTCTTTCTTTTTCTCCTTCCAACATCGCGTGTCATCCCAAAATGTCATCCCAATATTAATCGCGATTACTCTAATGTAATTCGAAAGTTATTACTTTAAAATTCTATTGCAATTGTATTTCTCAAGGTTTTCAATGAGATTTCCAATGTCTCAAGGTATCATTTCCACTCAAAATCTCAATAGTTTAATTGTAGTTCACTTGGATCTTTCTAGGCTTTCTAGATCTTTCTAGGCTTTCTAGATCTTTCTAGGCTTTCTAGATCTTTCTAGGCTTTCTAGATCTTTCTAGGCTTTCTAGATCTTTCTAGATCCATTTTCTAATCCTTTAAACACTTAATCAATCTCTTTTTCATCAAAAAAACATGAAAGATTGCCGGAGCATTGCGCGAATCGAAAATTATAACGCTTCTGTTTGGGAGAAGACAGGGAATAGACAGGAATCAAGGAATTATGGGGACACCTTGGAGACACCTGGCCTTCATTCAGTTGAAGGGTTGAAACTAGGAATGAAGAAATTGATTTGAAAGAAATATAGACTAAAAAAATGAAGAAATTGCTGTAATTCAACTACCATATTATTTGGGAATCGAATAAAATGGGGCAAAAAAAGCAAAAAGAGACTTGGCTTTCGGCCATTGGTCAACAATGGTCGAGGGGAAAAGGAAAGGAAAAAATTCGGAAAAAGAATCACATCCAAGCTATGAAGAGATTTGTTGAAATTACTTTAGATTCTAATTGTATGATTAGTATCTCAGAAAACTAATGGATGATGGGATAAGCTTTAGCCTCGAGATGCTGCAGTCCTTTCAACTGCAACTATCTTTTCAAGTCCATAATCGTTCCGAAAAATGGTTTGTACCGAAAAGAGCATGTCTGGAAACCAAAAAACACTAAAGGTTGTAAATTGTAAGATTACTATATGCATTATACCTTTCTAAGTAGCAATTTGTAATTGTTTAACTAGAATTTCTTAGCTTTTATCTAGATCTAAAGGGATCTAGATCTAGATTCATCAACTTAAGATAAGCAGTTAGGCAATTTGTATTAGGTTGGTGCAGATGAAACTTCCGTTGGAACCATAAACAAAATTTGTTATAAAAATCCTAATACAGAACCTCAATCCAAAAGATATTCGCTATCATTATCAATGACTCTTTGCCATCTTCCACGCAGAGAATGGATGCCCTTTTCGAAGAACTCGGGCAACTGCGACTCGAAGAAGTTGGACACCCAGATTTCAACTTCTTCGCGGTTTTTGAATTTTTTTTCTGCTAAAGAGTGCTGCATCGAACGAAACAAGTGGTAGTCGGATGGGGCCAAGTCCGGGCTATATGGCGGATGAGGCAGAACTTCCCAGCCCAATTCCTCGATTTTCTGCTGAGTGATCTTTGCGGTGTGGGGTCGAGCGTTATCGCGAAGCAATTTTGTAGTCGCTGTGTTATTGCCTTGACGACGCAATGCCTGGTCCACGCGGCTCAATTAGGTTTTGTAGAGATCCGCCGTGACTCTTTGGCCCGAATCCAGCACCTCAAAATACACGAGACCTTTACTATTCCACCAAATACAAAGCATCACCTTTTTTCCGTGGATATTCGGTTTGGGAGTCGGTTTTGGCGGTTCACCGGCGTCCAACCACTGCCGTTTTCTTGTTGTGTTGTCGTAACATATCTACTTTTCATCTGCCGTAACAATAGAGTCGAGAATTCCACCCATTGTAGCTCGAGCCGCTTTGTTTGCGTCGCTGAGCTGATGTGGCACCCATTTTCCACACCGATTCGTCTTACCAAATGCGTGCAAATGGCGGAGAATGGTTGTATGGTCGCAGTCAAACAGCTCTGCAAGCTCTCGAGTTGTTTGGCATGAATCCGATTCGATAGCGTTCTTCAACTCATCGTTGTCGACAATTTGAGGCGGATTCCCGCGTTTTTCGTCTTCCAAACTCTCATCACCGTCTCGGAAGCGCTGAAACCAAGTCCGGCATTGACGTTCGGACAACACGTCATGGCCGAATGCTTTGCACAGAGCACGATGAGATTCCGCAGGCGTTCTGCCTTGTTTAAAATCATACAACAAGCAAACCCGCACTCGAAATTTTTCGCCAACCATTTTCTAGAAGCTAAAAATTACTTCAAATTAAGTAAAACGCTTAAGGCTTAGATATCAAAAGACGCGCAAAGAGACGCTCTTTCAGATAGACAAATATCTTCAATAAAAACTTTTATTAGGTTCAAAATATAAACAAACAAGTGTGACGGAAGTTTCATCTGCACCAACCTAATAATTGTTTAACTAGAATTTCTTAGCTTTTATTTAGATCTAAAGGGATCTAGATTTAGATTCATCAACTTAAGTTAAGCAGTTAAGCAATTTATAATTGCTTAACAAGAATTTCTTAGCCTATATCTAGATCTAAAGGGATCTCGATCTAGATTCATTAACTTAAGTTAAGCAGTTAAGCTATTTATAATTGCTTCACAAGAATTTCTTGGCCTATATCTAGATCTAAAGGAATCTAGATCTAGATTCATCAACTTCCTAAAGATCAAACCGGAAAGTTGCCATAAAGTGCCATAAAGTATTTCTGAATCTCCATGGAAACTCAAAAAAGGAAAAAAGAAAACCCTTAAGGAAAAAGATCTAGAAAATCCACGAATGAATAGGGAAATTGAGAGAAAAATACTCAAAAAAAAAACAGGAAAATCCTTGAAGTGCAAGGTCTTTCTCTGTTGTTCTGCCATTTCCCCTCTTTCAATACCAATATTTCCTTAGCGTCTTTTGGGCATAACAATTGACGCTTTCTACCATAAAAAGAAAAAGAAAGAAAGAATTTTGGGTACCCTGGTTACCGACAAATCTTTCACTGCATAACGAATAGCAAAAAGATTTTGATATTCGAAGGATTTACTGTGCTATTCCTCTACGATTTCTGCTATTCCTACTGTGCTGTTAATGCTATTCCTAACTACTTCAATGACTTGCTTGATCGGCTGAGAAATCTAAGAAATGGAGATCTAAGAAATGGAGATCCGAGTCGAGGTGTTAGACTCTCGCTCTCCATCTCCGTCTCTTCAAAATTCTCCCAATTTTTCCCCATTCGAGAAACGACGATCCCTAAAAGATGATCTAAATAATGAAAGCCATGTCTGAATATCTTATTCTTTTCAAATTTTCAATCCTCTTTAGTTGAAATGGTTATATGAGAACTATGAAGTGGCTGATGGAACCTCGCTACCCAGATGTACTCTTTATGATCATTATAAGAAGTGAGTCTCTTTTTGAATCGACAGTATAAACCTGCTTAACGAGCCCGGGCAATATTTTCAGACAGTCTGTCTCGCTCTTCGATTTTTTTTACTGCTCAAAGCTCCTTCGAGCATGAAACCCAGTTTCCCCACAAGCCTTTATTATAGGTTTCATTTTGATTCTAAACATGGCTAGATTCTGTTTAGCCATTCTTTAGATTTCGATCAATCTTTCGCCGGACTCGATGAGCTTAACGAGTCCGGAAATTTTTTCTAAAATGATCGAAGTTTAAAGAATGGCAAAACAGAACCTAGCCATTTTTAGGATTAAAATGAAGCCTATAATAAAGGCTTGTGGGGGAACTGGGTTTCATGCTCGAAGGAGCTTTGAGCAGTAAAAATTCAAGGTCGAGGCAGACTGTCTGAAAATTTTGCCCGGACTCGTTAAGCAGGTCTACAACCGTACCAATCTTACTGTAAACATAGCCTCTACAAGTGATCTTTACCTTATCTGTAAACTGTAAACATTCTCTCTCTACATTATCTCTTTTCCAGACATTGCTCTGATATCGGATTGGATCCGGTGAATGCCGCATCTTTTGGGAAATTGATTCGATCGGTGTTCAGTGGACTGAAAACGAGAAGGCTTGGCACGAGGGGAAACTCCAAATATCATTACTATGGAATACGGTAAGTGATCGAAATTGCTTGTTCTGTTCACAGACTTCTTTCCCTGTCTACCGTAGGGCTTTCTGTTCAAGATTTCTGTTCAATAAGGGCTTTCTGTTCAGGATCCTCTTCTGTTCAGGATAGTTGAAATGTTTTGGGGAAATTGATGAGAATTGTTTTCAGAATCAAACCCCAATCCTCGCTCAATCATTTCCCCGAGGAGTACGGTGGAAGTATCACCAAAAAGAAAATCCTTCAATCAAATGCGAATTTGAGACGATCGGAGCGATTCAACAAGTAGAAAAAAAGAATTCTAAAATTTAAAATCAATGATTTATGATTTTCAGTGCAACAAATGCGACGTATGCTCAGGAGACAGCGGTCGTCTATTCGACTTACGATAGAACATCTTCATCAACACCACAACGGGAAAATAGTAAGGGATATTTGATGTGAAATAACTAAATAACTAAAGTACTTAATGCTAGACTTTTAAGCTTTAATTTGAACTATATAGAAAAGAATCAAAATCGAAGGAAATCTTGATTTTAAACTTTACCTAACAAACAGAACTTTAATCAATTTATCAATCTTTCCAACTAATTTAGTTTAAGCTTAATTCAATTTTTGAAACTAAAGCAAATCACTAGACAATCAAATGTAATCAATCAATCGATTCTAAGCATAAACTTCTAGGCGTCGAAGAGCATCCTTATATTCTCGGTGAGGGTCATGTTCCCCGTCTTTTCCCCGATTTCTCTACAATCAGCCCAGCTTTGGAATCAGTTAAGGTCTGTAAAGTTACAGTATTCTATAACTTCTATTCAATAAATTCTATTCTATAACTTCTATTCTATAACTTCTATTCTATAAGTTCTTTATCTGAATCTAGTTTTTTTTAATATTTCCTTTTAGATGGACCCTTCTCATGTGATGAAATTGATCGAGGGCTATCGGCAGAATTGTCAAGTTTGTGAAAATTAAGAGATTTGTCTGAGCATTGTCTTAATGCCTTAAATAAAAATTTCTAATTCCTATTGAATTTACTGTAATTTTTAGGACATTTTGTCGAATATTCGAGAGTTGCGACTTGATCTCCTTGAAGACACGTGGACGAGTTTCTGGTTGAATGAACAAATGAGAGTCGAGAGGTACTGGATCACGTATTACACTACTAGAGAACACAAGCTACAGTACTGAGCTACAGTACTGAGCCTTATCCATCACACAAAACCCTTCTAACTATTGATTATGAAAGAACTCTCTTCAGGTATCCAGTCATGAAAGCCCTGGCCACCACTCAACTTTACTCGTTGTGTATGATCCCGCAGGTTGATTGAATATCTTTAACTAATGATTGAATATCTTTAACTATTGATTGAATATCTTTAACTAATCATTGAATATCTTTAACTAATGCTTGAATATCTTTAACTAATGATTAAATATCTTTAACTAATAAATTAAATCAATTATTAAAGTTATATCTTTTAATAGATTCAACAATGGATGCTTCAAACAGACTATTATTTCTATCAAGTTCTTATCGATGTTTTAATGCCGAATGTCCTCTCGCCGAGTATCAAATGTGAGTTTTTGACAAGGGAAATTACTTGTTTTATGAAAAGAATTCAATATTGTATTCTTTATGAATGCAATATTCTTTGTATTCTTTATGCTACAACTTATTTTAGCCGACATGATCACTCAAATTCGAAACGTCGCTAAGAGCCTTGAGAGTCAAATGGCTAAAGCGTTGAGCAATGCTCCACAAGAACTTCTCCAGAAGAAAGTCGAGGCTGTTAAAGTGCTCTCACAAACATTGAGGAGGTAAAATAGTTATGGGATTTGTACTTGATTCGATACTTCTTCTTAGGTACACCTCGTTGAACCACGTGGCCACAGCAGCGCGTGGAGTCCTTCAAAAAGCCGATCAAATCAAACAAATGCATTCGGATTTCAACAGGTAAGCTGATTGCATTTAATGCTATTGCACTTACTGTTATTGCTGATTGCACTTACTGCTATTGCACTATTAGGCTCCAGAAAGACTTTATGGATACCCTAATAGTTATTTTAAAATCTCTTTAATTGCCTTCCCAGAGTCGAGATGACTTGTGTGCAAGAGCAGGCCGGTTGGGTTTGTGCCTGTGATCCGGCAACCGTGCAACACTTCCAGAACTCGTTTAGGTAAGAAAAACAAGGAGATTTTTACAGATAAATCTCAAATTTATATGTAAAATATTGCATTACTCAAAATATTTTAGAGAAAACCTTGAAAAACAGACGACTCTTGAGGGATGGGCACAATGGATGGAGGCTGTGCTTGACAATGTAAGTGATCTTTCAGTGAGAGTTCTTTCAAAAGTTTCTACAAAGTTCTCCGATTGAATTGAAAGCTTCTACAAGTCTGTTTGTTTATCAAGAACAAGATTTTCATTGATTTTCCTTTTCAGGTTCTCGCCCGATACCACGACAAAGCGGTGACCGAACTCGCCGAAGTGGCAAAGCAATTTCTGTTGAATTGGAGCTTCTATAAGTCTGTTTTTTTTATCAAGATCGATTAGATTAATATAGATTTTATATTTACAAACTATACTCGACTTTCTAACATCATAATTTCAGCAATTTAATCATTCGTGATCTCACCCTTCGATCAGCTCAATCATTTGGATCATTTCATCTGATTCGGCTCCTCTTCGACGATTACATGCTTTATTTAGTGGAACAGAGGCTAGCAAAGGTAGAAAAAAGACTTGATCTTGATAATAAATTAATTTTATTCTTCATTATCAAATTTTTAGGCTTCTGGACGCCCAGCGATCACAATAATGGCACCAGGTTTTCGTCCGGACGTAATTCTCTTTGAGGAAACGACACAAGAGGTTAAAACAAAACTTTTTTAAGAGATTAATACAAATTGATTAATGTTTAATATTTACCAAAATTATTGCAGCATTTGTTATCGCACAAAGATGAATGGGAGATCGTCGGACAAGTGGATATTGAGAGTGGCGGGGAATTGCTGTACACTGATGGGTTCCCTGTGGTCACCGATGCACAAAGAGGTCAGAATTTGTAGAAAATATCGTTTTAATATGCCGTAAATCCTGTAATTGAAGGGCGCTTTCCGCTATAGAAAATTGGTCGCCCAAAAAGTGACTACTTTTGAAAAAGAGTTTCGATGAAAAGTGCTTAGAGTGGTTTATATGTCGTAGCCGATTATGAATGAGTGGGTCTAGGAGCGTCCAACCATCAAGTATTTAGTAACATTCAACGCAGAATCATTAATAATTATGTTAAATTTTTTTTAATTAGAAAGATTGGATAAAAAAGAAAAAAAATTATGGGGCTTCAAAGTCTTCTCTTCAAAAAAACAGTTTTTTTGCTCTAATTTTTTTTCTATTTATCCAATCTTTCTAATTTTAAAAATTTACCATAATTATTAATGATTCTGCGTTGAATGATACCAAATACTTGATGGTTGGACGCTCCTAGACCCATTCATTCATAATCGGCTACGACATATACACTACTGGACAATGAAATATCATATTAAAAAGATCGTCACTTTCGCGCGTCTGTAACTCCCTTTTCTTTACCGTATTTCTAAATATTAATATTACCATTGTGTAGCCCTTGAAAAGAGCTTTCAGAAAATGGATAACACTAATAGTTAAGAACAAACCGTGCCGTGCACTGTTCATAAGCTCATCTAAATCTAACTGGTACTTCAGTATTGGCACTTTAGTACTAAACTAAACACTACTGGAAAATGAAATATCATATTTGAAAAAACATCGTCACTTTCGCGCCTCTGTAACTCCCTTGTCTTTACCGTATTTCTAAATATTAATATTACCATTGTGTAGCCGCTTGAAAAGAGCTTTCAGAAAATGTATAACACTAATAGTTTAAACTCAAAGACAAGGGAGTTACAGACGCGCGAAAGTGACGATCGTTTTTTCAAATATCATATTTCATTGTCCAGTACTGTAGGTCATATGTAGAACGTAAAATAGTTTTTCGAAAAAAGAATTGTAAGGAGGGACCCTTATCATTTGTGAGATCTTCAGGGGTCATGGCTGAAAGAATTTTCTTTTTTTAAACATGTTTTTCCTTCATTTTAGAGCATTTCCAATCAAGATAGAGTGATTTTAAAAGATTTTTTATTTTATATGATCTCGTTTATGATTTTTGGGAGTCCGGAAAAGGATAGGAAAAAAAATAGAAGAGCATACCCTTCATTTACAGTATTTAAAGGTAGATAAATGATTTAAAAGATAAATTTAAAGATAGATTTAAATATAGGCTTAGGTTTAAATATAGATTTAAATATAATAAATTGAAAATCTATTCGCTCAACAAGTGATTGCAAATGAAAGTTGATCGAAGAATTGCAGGCTTGATCGACACGAACACTCTCACGAAATGACCATTGATTGATTTGCACTTTTGCATTGATTTTTCTAAGAAATTTTATCAAATGAAATGAAATATAATCTGAAATGATATTCAGTTCATGTACAGCAATTCATCGATATTTCTAATTGCCATTGAAATTCGAATATTTTCTGCTTTGATAAGAGTTATGCCATTCCTTGCTTTCCCTTCTCTCCATTCCTTGCTTTCCCTTCTCTCCATTCCTTGCTTTCCCTTCTCTCCATTCCTTGCTTTCCCTTCTCTCCATTCCTTGCTTTCCCTTCTCTCCATTCCTTTACTTTTTAATCCGATATTGATCCGATATTGATATTTAATCGAATATTGAAAAAATCTCTTTTTTTTATGCCTAAAAAGCTTTTCATTTTTCTCCCCATAGATGTATAAAATTTTTATTTAAATTTTTATTCACCGTTTAGATTTGAGCGTAAAATGCATAAAATGAAAAAGAAAATAAAAATTTCTCTCTTACAAACACGTAATAAGTTAGCAAGTGTTGGAAAAGGCACAGAAAAGGCACACAAAAGGCACAGAAATTCCTAAAAAACAAATAGAAGATCAGTTATGAGAAGTGTTTTGAGAGAGCTTTTTAAGAAGATTTTTCTTGGACTACTGTTAGTTACGGGGAATCTAATAAAGAAGAATCTATTAGAAAAAAGGAAAGTCATATCCTTTTCAATACAGCAATTCAATTGGAGAAGTGGAGTGGACAAGAATCGACCGATCGACGATCATCGATTGAAGTTCGAGTTGTTTAGGCTGAAAATTCATTGATCAATCGATAAGAAATCTTTGAAAGCTTTAAATGAAGATATTTTAAACTAAATCTTTCCCTCACCATATCCAAGATCTTTTCCATTGTTTGGAATCGGCATAGGGGGAAGAGTTGGCTCGACTTTAGGAGCAACAGCTGGGGGAGCTGTTCCACCAGTGACAGGAGTGGACGGTTGTTCAGCTGGGGGCGTAGGGCCGGATTCGGATGGTTTCTCCACTTCGGTCTTTTCCTCATCAGCTGGTTTCTCTGCATCATAACCTCCTGCTGCACCGGCTTCAGCGGGCTTTTCAGCGGCTGGGGTCTCAGCTTTCACCTCAGCCTCAGCTTGTTCAGCAGCCGGTTTCTCAGCTTCAGTTGATGGAGCTGGAGCCTCTTCAGCAAGTTTTTCGTCTCCTTTCTCTTCAGGTTTTGCTTCTTCAGCCGGCTTCTCAACCGGTTTCTCAGCTTCAGCTGGAGCATCGTATCCTTCAGCTGGCTTCTCTTCAGCTTTCTCTTCTGGTTTCACCTCGTCAGCTGGCTTCTCAGGTTCAACGGCTGCAGCTTCAGCTCCCGCTGGCTTCTCTTCAACTGGCTTCTCTTCAGCTTTCTCTTCAGGTTTTGCTTCTTCAGCCGGTTTCTCAGCTTCAGCTGGAGCATCGTATCCTTCAGATGGCTTCTCTTCAACTGGCTTCTCTTCAGCTTTCTCTTCCGGCTTCACCTCGTCAGCTGGCTTCTCAGGTTCAACGGCTGCCGCTTCAGCTCCCGCTGGCTTCTCTTCAACTGGCTTCTCTTCAGCTTTCTCTTCAGGTTTTGCTTCTTCAGCCGGTTTCTCAGCCTCAGCTGGAGCATCGTATCCTTCAGCTGGCTTCTCAGGTTCAACGGCTGCCGCTTCAGCTCCCGCTGGTTTTTCCTCAGCTTTCTCTTCTGGTTTCGACTCCTTCGGCTTTTCTACCTCTGCGGCTTCGGTTGGGCTTTCAGCTGGGGCATCGTATCCCCCAGCTTCAGCACCAGCCTCAGCCGGCTTTTTTTCAGCTGACTTTTCAGGTTCAACTGCTGGTGTCTCAGTAGCGGGTCCATTAGCCGCAGTCTCTGCCGGTTTTTCTTCTTTGGGTTCTGATTTCTCCTCAGGCTTTGCAGCTTCAGCTGGTGTGGAACCCTCCGTCGGAGCTGAGTCGTACCCTTCAGCAGCCGTTCCTACATCAGCTGGCTTCTCCGCCTCTTTCGTTGGTTTTTCTTCAGCAACTGGAGCCGGTTCTTCAGCCGGCTCTTCATTCTTTTCTGTGAGCTTTTCTTCCGGTGCCTCTTCTTTCTCTTCCGCTTTTTCCCCACTTCCTTCCACAGTCTCTTTATCAGTTTCTTCGACTTTTGGCTCTTCAGCAGTTGGTGTCTCATTTTCAGTGGCTGGTTTCTCTTCTGCTTTCTCAGCCGGACCATCATATCCATTAGCCGCTCCAGCTTCAGTTGGTTTCTCGGGTGTTTCCTCTGCACCCTTTGGTTCTCCGACTGGTTTAGCGGACTCAGCTGGTGCATCATAACCTTCGGAAGCATTTCCTGCTGCTTCTGCTGGCTTTTCAGCAGCTGGGGTCTCGGGAGCTTTCACTTCAGGAACTGCTTCTTCAGCAGCTGGTTTCTCAGCTTCTGTGGAAGGAACCGACTCATCAGCTGGTTTCTCAACTTCCTTTTCTTCATGTTTGGGCTCTTCAGGTTTTGCAGCCGGGGATTCAGCAGGAGTCGGGCCATCATATCCTTCAGACGCCACTGGGCTAGTTTCAGCAGGCTTTTCCTCGGCTTTTTCTTCAGGTTTTGCGTCGGCTGGCTTCTCGGGTTCAGCTGCAGGAGTTTTCTCAGTCTCAGTAGCCTCAGTAGCAACAGGCGCATCATAACCGCCAGCCGCAGCTCCAGCTTCTGCCGGCTTTTCCTCCAATTTCACCTCTTCGACGGGCTTTGGAGCTTCAGGTTCCCCAGCCGGTTTCTCCTCAACTTTATTCCCTTCAAGCCCCGATTTTTCCTTGGGTTCAGCTTGAACAGTGGGGGCATCATATCCACTCTCAGCAGCTCCGGCGTCAGTTGGTTTTTCCGTCTGTTTTTCTTCTGGTTTCACTTCTTCTGTAGGTTTCATTGACTCAGCCGGAGTCTCTGTTTTAACTTCTTCTTTTGGTACAGCTACAGGTGCATCATAGCCACCAGTGGCATCTGTGGCAGCCGGTTTCTCCTCAAGCTTAGGCTCTGGCTTTGGTGGGTCAACAGCAAGGACTGGGCCATCGTATCCACCAGCATCAGCTGGCTTTTCTTCAGGCTTCACTTCTGCTGGAGTTCCCTCAACTTTGTTCTCCTCAACGTTGTTCGGTGTTTCGACAAGTGGTGCATCATATGGACTCGGATCCGCAGCTGGTTGTTGTCCAGCGTCTCTCACTTTCTTCGCTTTCACAACGGCGGCAATTGATGGATGAAAGCTGAAAACATTGAGAATGTTCTCCTCATTGATCTTGCTGATTGGGTAGATTCCATTTGGCTGAAAATCTCTGTTTAGTAAACTTTAATACTCTTTTTCTTTACCGTATTGATTGCGAACTCTCCGGCAGACTCAGCGGCTCGCAAAGCGGCAATCGCTCGTTCGATTCGTTCTCTGAAATTCGTAATTCGAAATTCAGATTGTAATTTAGTACTATTAAGTACTATTAACTAAATTGATTGATTTGCTAGATTGATTATGAAATAATCATACCGTAAATACTGTAATAGTACCCCACCCCGATAATGACGGTGCGGAGTGTTGGGTAGTCTAGCTTTGAACGAGTTTTTCTCGACACTGGTTTATGTTACAATGCGCGCTTAGGTATCAAAAAATAGCCCTGGATTTCAGCTATTTTTTGGTCGCCTAACGAATTTCTCCGGTATCAACAGCGTTGTCCAAATGAACACCAGCATGGACGCGTTGAAAAGAGAATTGGATCCTTTTCTTGTCAAGAATCGAAATCTTCCATATGTCTATGTACTCAAGTAAATATTGGGAAAAGTATTGTAATAGAATTGCACAATTATTACCTACCGTAAATACTGTAATAGTACCCCACCCCGATAATGACGGTGCGGAGTGTTGGGTAGTCTAGCTTTGAACGAGTTTTTCTCGACACTGGTTTATGCTACAATGCGCGCTTAGGGATCAAAAAATAGCTGAAATTCAGGGCTATTTTTGATACCTAAGCACGCATTGTAGCATAAACCAGTGTCGAGAAAATAGCCCTGAATTTCAGCTATTTTTTGATCCCTAAGACGCATTTTTTGAAAGTACGGGCGCTTTGAAAAAAAATGAAATACTAAAAAACTTTTGCGACTACGCGACTGTACGAGGGGGGTGGGGTACTATTACAGTATTTACACTTAATTATTCTTTTTGTTTTGTTCTATTAAAGTTTATAGGAATGAAATCAGCGCTCACATATCTTGAGCTCAAGAAAAAGCTCATGAGGAAGCGCTACTTCGTGGTAGAGTACATTCTCATTAGTTGCATATTGTTCTGTTTGTTCGATGCACCAGATTAACAAGTCCAGCAAGTGTATTTACGGTAAGTATTATGACAAAACAATCATCATAATATCCTTCATTTTTCAAAACTCTGAAATTCGGGTTTCGGAATTCGGAATTGTAATTGTACAGATTGTATTTTTAAAGTACTATTGACTAAATAAAGATCTGATAGCTTATTATAATCAAATATAATATTCTTCATTATATTCTTCATTATATCCTTATTATATTCTTTATTATCCTTATTATATCCTTATTATATCCTTCATTATATCCTTCATTATATTCTTCATTATATCCTTCATTATATCCTTATTATATCCTTCATTATATCCTTATTATATCCTTATTATATTCTTCATTATATCCTTCATTATACTCTTCATTATATCCTTCATTATATCCTTCATTATATCCTTCATTATATTCTTCATTATATCCTTCATTATACTCCTTCATTATATCCTTATTATATCCTTCATTATATCCTTCATTATATTCTTCATTATATCCTTCATTATACTCTTCATTATATCCTTATTATATCCTTCATTATATCCTTCATTATATCCTTCATTATATCCTTCATTATACTCTTCATTATATCCTTATTATATCCTTCATTATATCCTTCATTATATTCTTCATTATATCCTTCATTATATCCTTATTATATCCTTCATTATATCCTTCATTATATCCTTCATTATATCCTTCATTATATCCTTCATTATATCCTTATTATATCCTTCATTATATCCTTATTATATCCTTATTATATTCTTCATTATATTCTTCATTATATTCTTCATTATATCCTTCATTATATCCTTCATTTTTCAAAACTCACTGCAATGGAGCGGCTGATATCAAGAAGACAAAGGCGCCAATCACAACGAGACTCTTCATTGCTGAAATTTTCATGCAACCTTTAGAAAATGAATCAAGATTTCATGGAGAAAAAGATTTGATGAAGATTTGATGGAAAATTTCATTGCAAAATCTTTAGTGACAAGGCGTAGATGGTGGAATAAATCTATTGGAAAGAAGAATCTCATTTTTGGCTTAATCCTTTCATTCTCTGATTTCAAACTTTTGGCTTAATACTAGGCTTAATACTTGTGCTTTAATATAAAATGGAAAAGAATTCAAAAATCGAATAACTAATAACTTAATTCTCCAATAAACAAATAGAGGAAATAGATCGAATTGTTGTTTCATTTGTTTCATTTGTTTCATTCTCTGATTTCCATTCGATCAAAAGTCTAAACAAACAATTTGAAAAGCGATTCTACAAGACAATTTCAACAAAGACAAACTTTTAAATCTAAAAGATCTTTGGTTTAACTCATAAATTGACCTCATTCATTGGTGATTTGTTAAAAAATCGATCGTCATCTTTCTTTCTTACAAAATTATTTCAATTTTCAAGAATTCAAGAGTTTAAGAGAGAAATTTCTATAGAAAAATCGCTTTTTAAAGCCGATCGTCAAAGAAAATGCATGCTGATACTCCAAAATATAATAGAAATCTTGAAAAGAACTCTTTTTTTTGTTTTTAAAGAAAGCATTAGATTAAAGGATTAGAATATTAGACAATTAGACGATTAGAAGACTCAAAAATGAATGGGAAATAGATACGATAGAAAAGAAGAAATTGAAATGGATAATAAATGGATTTTATCGATGATAAGAACTCGAAATGGATTACGAGAATATTCAGTTGGCTAAATGATCTAATGATTGCTAAATGATCTAATGATCTAAAGTGTGTCAATGATAACTAAAAGATAACCAATGATAACCAAAATTCTACAAAATTCTACAAACCCTCCAGAATGTCTGTGAAAAGATGGGCGGAGAAGAAACGATCCCTTTTATACCAAAAGAGAAAACCACAAGTTTCGGTTCATCTTCAAGAAAAGAGAGAAAGAAAGAAGAGAGAGAAAGAAGAAGAAGAGAAAGAAAAAGAGAGAAAGAAGAGAAGAGAGAAAGAAGAAGAGAGAGAAAGAAGAAGAGAGAGAAAGAAGAAGAGAGAGAAAGAAGAAGAGAGAGAAAGAAGAGAAGAGAGAAAGAAGAAAAGAAAGATGAAGAAAGAAAGAAAAAGAAAAGAAAGAAAATAAAAGAATGAGAAAATAAAGGAAAGACATCTCTTTTTTCCCCATTTAGGTCACAATTCTTGTAAAGTTTTCCCTTTGTGATGAATGAAATCTCATCATTCTCGCCTCTCTTCAGATCTTTTGTATTGATGGTGCAAATTGTGGTCACACTTTGATCATTTTCACAGATTTGAGAGATTTTCAATGTTATCAGTTTTTTTTAGAACAATTCGCGTGCTGAATCTGATCTGATACAGTTCTTGATCGGTTTGAAAAGGGAAATCGATGCTAGCTTTTGACAGAAGGAACATTGTGTGTACTTTCTCTGTCTCTTGTAGGAAAAAAGTGGCGTCTGGTACACTGCCTCTAGGACCTCTAGGATAAAGGCGATCGAAAATGCTGGTTTAATTTAATCCACTGCTGGTTTAATTACCCAAGTTTTGCTTTAAGGGAAAGCCTACCGACCAGCTTAACCAAATTTGAGCACACCAGCTTTGAGCACAAAGCTGGTGTGCTCAAACTCAAAGCTGGTGTGCACGACCGACCAGATTTGAGGACAACACAAAGAATGGATTCTATTCAACTAAAATTTTGGTATCACTAGCAGAGCTGCTCTTTTGAATTCTTTGTTTTGTAAATTGAAAGAGAGGTTTCATTTGGATTTTTATTTGTATTTTAATTTGGATTTTTATTTGTATTTTCATTTAGATTTCATTTGTTTCTAGAAAATCTTTGACTCCTTTCAATTCTCAATAAGAAATGAGTAGAAAGACTGGATAAAAAAAGGAAAGGAGAATGAGGCAATGAAGTCTGTCCAGTCATGACAATTCCAAAAGAAACCATGTTCTGTCAGAAAAAAGAACAACTAGCGGTGATTGAGTGTGTGGATGTTCTTCTCTTTTTTAAGTTCTCCAGCTTCTTTTTTGCTTTTTTTCTCTTTTTGTCCGCCAATCTCACCAAATGAAAATCTGAACATTCTAGAAGGCTCTGAACAATCTGAACAAGTCATAGAAAAACTAGAAAAAAGTTTCAGTGATCTCCGGTTCAATTACCCAATCTGAATCAGGATAATATTCTTCTTCATCAGGCCGTTTACAGGGCTGTTTGCCGGATGGAGAGCGATTGTGCGCGTGCACAAAGAACACCATTTTACACGATGATTTTACTTTTACCTTTAGAATGGCTCCAAGATGAGATTTAGTGCTGAAAACTTGTATCCAGGGGTTTTCGGTGTCAGTGAATCGATTCGTGGGCTTCATTTTTATTGATTATCTTAAGTGAAACATTAATCTGAATCACTTTTCTAAAGCTAACGCTCAACTCGAACACTTTGATCTCCAACTCCAACACTAAAGCTAACGCTCAACTCGAACACTTTGATCACCTTGTCTATGTCTCCATACCCAATAAATCTAAAGATCTCTCAAAAACTGAGTCATTTCATGTTCGAGTTCTTCAGGGAAAAATCTTCGACTCAATCCATGTTTATTACCCTTTTTTTCTTAAGAGAACTATGAAAAAAAGGGGTAATTAGGGTTGGGAAAAGGGAAAATGAAAGGAATATTCGATCAATTATCTTATGGAGATTCTTCTTTAAGCTACTAGGCTAGATTTAGTGAGACAAATATAGAGTTTTGAAAAAAAAATGATTTCAAGAGATCGTCCGGCGCCTTTGAAATCATTCAGTTTTTGAAAAACTTTTGAGAAATTTCAAAATGATTCCAAATCCACAATCAAAACCTTTAAAGAAAATTTGTGAGATTTTATTCGTTTTACAAAAGCACACACTCTCTACACAACTTGTTTATAGGCTTCATTTGTTCTTTGTCATCTGGAAACAAGCATCATTTGGCATAGATCAGTGCACTAGATTCGGTTTTTTTGTCAAAGAACAGTACTTTCAGAGCACAAAGAACAAGGAATACTTTCGGAATACTTTCGTTTCTCGTGTTTTTCTTTGTCATTCTCCATTCACAAAATGAATGGATATTTTTAGATCGGTATCTTTCGATTGAAAAGAATCCTTTCCTTCCTTTCAATCGAAGAAAGAATCCTCCCTTCCAACCTGTTGGACAGTTATTGGAACTAGAACGATTTATTGGGTTTTCTTGTAAGATCATTATTCTTTATGAATCTGAAAAAAAAGAAACAGAAATATACCTGAATACTTTTTTCAAGTGAAAGCTTTCTTTGTTGCTTTCTTTGTTGGGTCGATGCTAATGTAAACCCAACCTTTCTAGCGTAGTTCTTCATGTTTATAGCGTAGTTCTTTCTAGCGTAGTTCTTTCTATCGTAGTTCTTCATGTTTTCTAACGTAGTTCTTCATGTTCTCTAGCGTAGTTCTTCATGTTTTCTAACGTAGTTCTTCCTCTTTTCTAACGTAGTTCTTTATCTTTTCTAGCATAGTTCTTCATCTTTTCTAGAGTAGTTCTTCATCTTTTCTAACGTAGTTCTTCATGTTTCTAGCGTAGTTCTTTCTAGCGTAGCTCTTCATCTTTTCTAGCGTAGTTCTTCATCTCTTCTAGCGTAGCTCTTCATCTTTTCTGACGTAGTCCTTCATCTTTTCTAGCTTAGTTCTTCAAGTACACAAAACTAATCTCTCATAATAAGCTTGATAATAAGCTTGATAATAAGCTTGATACCTATAATTCTTTGCCAGAAAACTTACGTTTCTCATTTCAAAGCAAATCGAAAAAATTAGCATCTAAAGCTAATGAGTTTTCCTCAAAAAAAGGTGTTCAATTGATGCAATCACAGACAAATAAAAAAGAGAAAACACCAGGAAATGGAACACGTCAAATTGAATTCAATTCAAATTCATTGCTCCTCTTTTCTCCGTCGACAAAAACCAGCTTTCTCTCATTTGCATTCGATTCTTTTCCCCCCAAACAAATTCTCGATCGAATTTTTCCACGCAATCGTACTTTAACTCGATGACCTTAGGGTTTTCTCTATTTGTTTTTTATTCCTTTTCCACCCACAATTTCCTTTTTTTTTTAAACCTTTCATCCCGAATGCCCAATGAGCCAAAACCCACGCAAAAAAAAACACAAAAAAATGTTTGACCTTTTCGGTGCAAAGTTTTTGCAATCACCTTTGTGTCTGAGATTCTGAAGCTGAAGGTTTTTTAGAAGGAACTGAACTGAGAATTAAGCTCATTGAGATTTTGACAAGGTTTTGAAAGCTTTTGAAAGAATTCACGGTCAAGTAATCCAGCAAAAATCTCTGACAGACTTCTTGAATCCTCGAGAAGATCTTTTTGGAGCTTTTCCGAACCAATCATTCCGATGGAACACGTCAAATTAAATTGAATTCAAATTCATTGCTTCCAAACCAATCATTCCGATCATTTCCCCCCTCTGATTCAACAAAGAATTTGAAGAAAAATGATCGAATTCCCATCGCTTTGTCATCCAATCTTTGGCAAACAGGTGTTTGAAAGAAATGAAAGAAATCTTGAAAGAAATGAAAGAAATCTTAAAAGAAAGCCTCAAAGTCACGAATCTCTTTCACTAAAATCACACTTTTCACGCATTTTATGAGATACGATGAAGTGAAAACAAGCAATTCCCTGGCAATCCCTGGCAATCCCTGGCAACCCGTGAAAATCGTGCCAAAAACGGCAAACCAAAAGTCACCACACTCACAAAAGTTCGCTTTTCGATTTTTCTTAGTTGTCCGTCTCATGGTCAGATCAAAAAGATAAAAAAGGTTCTTGTTGGTATAAGAAAATACCGTATTTACTTGAATAGAAGACAGAATAGAAGACTGAATAGAAGACAGAATAGAGGACAGAATAGAAGACAGAATA